TATTTGAGCCAAGCAATCTTGTAAATGCCAAATTGTGGGTGGTCATCGAATAAATGAATCAATAAGCATCATAAAAGATTTGAATAGTGTGCATGGTGGATCTACAGCCTTATATATCACTGTAAATTAAGAAATTTATTTTTACTTTTGATGATGATAGTTAGTTATTAACTTTATTTTAGGAAGCAATACATTTCAATTCATTTGTATTGAATACTATTTGATTTTTCAAAGTATGACTATTGATATTTTCAACAATTCATCTTATTATAATATTATTGGGATGTCCAATCTAGTCATACCAGATTATAAAATTTGTAGATTTCTGATATATTAGATATGTTTCAATTGTATTCAACTTCGAATATATAACCAAGAAACAATGAAGACGGTTTTTCTAAAAATATGTTTATGCTCGAATTTGTAATCAACCAAAGTTTCTTATTTGTCTTACTTGATATCTTAATATGATATTCATTTCGACGAATATCATTAAAACTCAGCATATTTATTAGAAATTTGTTAGAAAATAGTATATTTGGAATGTCAAATTTTATTCTTTCTAGAAGAAATATTACGGTTCTTTCGGAGCCTTCAATCAATTTTGTACAAGCACATATTGTATTAACATGAATTTTTCCCAATTTAAGGTTTGTTTAATATTTTTTTATATTTCAGAATGATCAATGAGATATAAATTGTTTTATTAATTATGACTTGTTCAGAATTCATATTTATTTCTTTTGAAAGAACTATGAAAAAATAAATATATCAATAATTTAAACAAAATTTATAATTGTTATATTTTACAAAATACGAGAGTAAAAATAACTAAATATATATTATCACACTGCACCTTCACGGTGCTTCAAATATAAATCATCAGAAATTTAAAATATGCATCTTCATGGTACACAATATACAATATCAAAATTTTTAAAATATGCACTTTCATGAAACTCAATATATATTATCGGAAGTTTGTAAAAACATGAATATTCAGTTATCAAAATATAAATTTTTTTTTTTATCAAAATATGTACCTTGAGGATACATAAAAAAAAATTGCACATCTAAATATGCGGTTTATAGTAAAGATATCACTACTACTAGCATGATTTTCAGACAAATATATTTATTAAACCTTGGCATTTTTGGGTGCCTTTTCTTAATAATAGCTAGGAGGGGAATTCGAATATATGTATGTTATTAGTTATAATTGTATTTAAAAAATACTCTTATATCATCTAAATTTATTTTTGTTTCTATTTTTAGTAAAAATTATCATTTTATTTAATTTTTCTTTACTATAAAAAAAATTATATTTTACCCACTTTTCTTAAAAACACATGCCCAGTCAGAATTTCAGAATAAAAATTTTTGCGAATATAATTTTCGCAATTAGTTTGAATAACCTCAAAAAGAAAAAAGAAAAAAAAAATTGTTTCTTTATATTAATATAAGTATGTATGTATAAATAAAATATATATATTATTATATGTATATGATATATATATGGAAGTGTGTGTACGTTATGTAGATATATGGGAGGGGATAGAGTGCCATGCTGCTTACTACTAGAAGTTGATGACATGTAATTATATTAATTAATTATATAAATTAAAATAATTAATTTTTAATAATTCAGCACACTTCTGAACTCTCTATTTCTTCTCAATAGGTTACTTGACAGTTTTTTAAACTAACTTGTGGAAGTTAACCTACGGATCCATTATGGTGGCCCAAGGGAGAAGATATGGAACTCTCTACGTGACGAAAAATATACAAGACGGAATAAGTTTTGTGACCATAAATGATGACACAAATTTATGGCATTCTCGTCTCAGACACATGAGCGAGAAGAGGATAAAAGAGCTCATTTCAAATGGAAGATTGTCAGGTCTCAAGTCTGTCGATATTGGACTATGCGAGGACCGGTTCTTTGAGAAACAACGAAATGTAGCGTTCTCAAAGGATATGAGAGACCTGAAAAATAGTAAGTTAAAATTGGTCAAAACGGAGTTGTGGGGACCAGCTCCTGTATCGACCCTTGAAGGCTCATACTACTACACCGCGTTTATTGACGATGCTACAAGGAAAGTATGGGTATATTTCCTTAAGCGTAAATATGATGCTTTTGATAGCTTTAGAAGGTGGAAAGCACGTGCAGTGAGAGTAGTGAGTCGATTTATGAGCAATCCTGGAAGACAGCCTAAGGTGGTGACCTTAGATGAATTGAGGTTGTGTTCAACCTCAATTGGCCTCGATGAGTGAAGAAAGAGACTTGGCATTGTCGTTGCCGATGAAATAAAATATTGAAGTGGAAGATGCAATCAGTCTTCAAGTGGGAGATTATTGAGAGATGAAGTCTAATTATATCCTAAAATATAAGGATATGATTTAGATATTATATTCTAAATTTTAGAGATATGATTTGGATATTATTGGCATAAGTTTAGTCTATAAATATCCATATAATCTCACTTTAACATGTGGCTGCGTATTCTATAGTAAAATTCCTTGCTTGGAAGCACCCCCAGATGTAGATCATTCTGATTGAACTAAGTTACCAAATTCTTGCATTCTTATTCGTCTCATCTTGATTTCCTAGAATTTCAAACATATCACATGACTTGCATCTTCCTTGTTCTTGTTCTTCAGGTTCAACTTTGAAAATTCTTGATCTTCACCTTTTCCCTTTGTCTCAAATCTAAATTCAGTTGAGATATTCTCCCAAAGAGTTAGTCAAACCGCAGCGGAAGAGATATCCAATACGCTGATTCTGAGCGTCAGCAGTCCAATGGAGTTATGGATTTTGGCCTCAGGAGCGTCATTTCACTCATGCAGTGATTCGGGAATCATGAAACCCTATATCACAGGTAATTTTGGTGTTATCTATTTTGCAGATGATGAGACACTGAAAATTGTAGGTAAATGGATAGTTTGAATCAGAACACCCAATGGGTGGGAGTGAAGACTGAATGACGTGAGCCATGTCCCGGTCTGAAAGGGAATCTGATTTATGTTGAATAATTGGATGAAGTAGGTTACTCGACAGTTTTTTAAACTAAGTCGTGGAAGGTAACCTAAGGACCCATTGTGGTGGCCCAAGGGAGAAAAGATGAAACTCTCTACATGACGAAAAGTATGGAATACAAAATCAATTCCGTGGCCATAAATAATGACAAATTTTTGGAATTCTTGTCTCGAACGCATGAGCGAGAAGGGGATAGGGGAGCTCATTTCAAAAGGAAGATTGTTAGGTCTCAAGTCTGTCGATATTGGAGTATGCGATGACTGGTTCTTTGGGAAGCAACGAAATGTGGCGTTCTCAAATGGTGGGAAAGACCTGGAAAATGAAAAGTTGGAATTAGTTAAAACGGACTTGTGGGGACCAGCTTCTGTATCGACTATTGGAGGCTCACAGTATTACACCGCATTCATTGACGATGCTACAAGAGAGGTATGTGTATATCTTTTTAAATATGATGCTTTTGATTCCTTTAGGAGATTGAAAGCACGTGCAGTAGGAGTAGTAAGCCGATTTATGAGCAATCCCGCAAGACAACCTAAGGTGATGACCTTAGATGAATTGAGGTTGTGTTCAACCTTAATTGGCCTCGACGAGTGAAGAAAGAGGCTTGGTGCTATCATTTCCGATGAAGTATAATGTTAAAGTGGAAGATGCAATAACTCTTCAAGTGGGAGATTGTTAGATATGAAGTTTGATTATATCTTAAAATCTAGAGATATGATTTGGATATAATTTAAATATTATATTCAATATTTTAGAGATATGATTTGGATATTATTGGCATAGAGCGCCCCAGACGTAGATCATTATGATCGAACTAGGATACCAAATTCTTGTATTCTTGTGTCATTGTTTATCTCTTCTTGATTTTATGGAATTTCCGTCACAATAATATTTTAATTGCAGTAAACAGTTAAAAGTAGCGTAAATTTTTTTTGCCTTTACGGTGTAAAAATAATAATATGATGAAAAAGTAAAAGTATATGTAGAGAAAAGTAAGATATTTAAGGAAATATGAAAGAAGTATATAAACCGATTCTTGTAATAAGTAAACTTGCTATTGAGTGTTTTTACTTAGTCTTTTTTTTTTTTTTTTAATGACGTGAGAATCCGCAGCTGCTATCCGAAAATGCGCACTGGGTAAACCTTCGGCCGAACCTAATACCTTGCAAAGCAGGCCCGACGGAAAAGACACACTAGACTAACCATGTGTGGCAGATGACCTGAAGTTTAAACACATGACCTCACGATCACAAATTTACACGCTATCCCTTAGGGGGACTACTTAGTCTCTTTTTGAGTCGGTGTAAAAATGAATAAGACAATCATATATAAATATATTTATTTATTCGTGCAAATATTTTTATCTTAAACATCCACAAATTTCAAATATATATATAATATTTGGTAAAACTATTTTATTCTATTAATGTTTTGTTTTTTCCTTTTTAAATTAATAGTACTATATGTTTTATTTAAACTTATAAGGGCTAGAGTGTAGTGTACAAAATTAGAACCCACTCCCAACCTATTAAGACGCATGGATCACCACATGTTCTCCTCCCTATTGTGCACAACAAAATTAAATTACATTATATTATATTAAATTAAATTAAATTAGTACGTAATTAATTAAGTAGGTAGGCTGGGTTGGGTTGGGTCTCGCACCTATAGTTTGACCACCACCCATTTCTTGCTTACGTGGCTGTATCTCCACACATATAGCCTCCTCTTTCATTCTCCTCCCTTCCATCACCATTCTTCCTCCAAATCTACGTATATAATAACCAATACAAAACACCCAACATTAATTGTATTCACAGCTTGCTTTGCAGGTTGTTTTTTCATTACTGGATCCCATGTCAAACTCCATTACCTCCTACATTATTAATTAATTAATAAATAATACAATATATATATATATATATATATACAGAGAGCCCTATAAAGTGTCTGTAACGTGACAATGAGCGGCTATCGATTTTACGAGAGAGCTTCAAGGGCTTATTATGGCCGCCCTCATTTTTACAAATTGCTTGCTGTCTGTACTGTCAGGTTCCAATACTAACATACCATTAATTAATTTATTGAATTACATGTACATCTATCTATCTATATATATATATATGTATGTATGTATGTATGAAAATATAATGTATACATGGATGCAGCGGCGGCGGATTGGTGGTGGCATACGGCGAGGCGGCGAGGAGCACGGCGTTTGCGGAGGCGGCAAACGATAATAATTCGATAAAGAAGAAGAAAGTGGTGGTTCTGGGAACTGGTTGGGCTGGGACAAGCTTTCTCAAGAGCTTGAAAAATCCGTCGTACGAGGTTCAGGTTGTCTCGCCAAGAAATTATTTTGCCTTCACGCCATTGCTGCCCAGCGTCACCAACGGGACCGTCGAAGCACGCAGCATCGTCGAGCCCGTCCGCAAGATTGTCGGGAAGGTAGTACAGATTCGATTCGATTCAATTCAATTCCTAATTCTGGATCCGATGATCTCATCTCATCAATTGTAAGTAATAATGATAATAATCGATCGATCGATTGTAGAAAAAGTACGATGCTGAATTCAAGGAGGCTGAGTGCTACAAAATCGATACACAAAACAAGAAGGTGCACTGCAGATCCATCACCCACCAATCGCACCTAGGCGGCTCCGAAGACTTCACTGTCGATTATGATTATCTCGTTATCGCCATGGGTGCTCGTGTCAACACCTTCAATACTCCTGGTGTTGCAGAACACGCACACTTTCTCAAGGTATACATACATACATACCTACATACATACATACATATATATATATATAGATAGATATAGATAAGATTCAATTTCTTACATCTATGTTGTAATTAGGAAATAGAAGATGCTCAGAGAATCAGGAGGACAGTGATCGACTGTTTCGAGAGGGCAAGCCTTCCAAGCTTAAGCAACGAGGAAAGGAAAAGGATTCTGCATTTTGTGGTTGTCGGGGGAGGCCCAACGGGCGTAGAATTCTCTGCTGAGCTTCACGAATTTGTCACGCACGATTTGGCTAAGCTCTATCCTACACTTATGGAGCATGTCAAGATTACACTTCTTGAGGCCACTGATCACATTCTCAACATGTAATCGATTAGGGTTTTCTCGAAATTCAATTTTGTTGAGTTTTCTTCAATTAATTGTCGCTTTTCTTGCAGGTTTGACAAAAGGATCACAGAATTTGCAGAAAAGAAATTTGGGAGAGATGGGATTAACCTAAAGTTTGGCTCTATGGTTACAAAGGTAACTGAAAAAGACATATCCATCAAAGAGAGAAGCTCTGGCCAAAATGTGAACATCCCTTATGGAATGGTAGTTTGGTCGACTGGTATCGCGACACGCCCCGTTGTAATGGATTTCATGAAGCAAATTGGGCAGGTAGGGTTTGGCTTGTTTTTTCTTTCTCTTTCAATATAATGTAATGTAATATGTTGTCTACCTGAGGACATTAATGGCGTCGTAGACAAACCGGCGAGTATTAGCGACCGATGAATGGCTGCGGGTGGAAGGGTGCGACGACATATACGCACTTGGCGATTGTGCAACCATAAATCAACGCAAAATCATGGTATGATCGAATGAATTTTTCTTGGCTAAAAAGGGATCATCTTAATTAATGAGGACTAAGAATTAAAAAAATTATTAGGAAGACATTGCGGCCATTTTCGTGAAGGCAGACAAGAAGGGCACAGGTCGTCTGAAAGTAGACGACTTTGAGGAGGTGATCAACGACATAGTGGAAAGGTATCCTCAGCTCGAAATTTATCTGAAGAAACAGCAGCTTAAAGACTTTGTTCAGCTTCTCAAAAACAAACATGGCGACAAGGAACTGGACATCGAGAAATTTAAGGCAGCACTTTCTGAAGTAGATTCACAGATGAAGAACCTTCCTGCCACTGCACAGGTAACAACAATAAATCAGATCAAATGAGGGAAGAAGGAGAATCCATGATCATTCATAGTTTGTGTTTCTTTCCAATTACAGGTTGCTGCTCAACAAGGGAATTATTTAGCAGACTGCTTCAACAGGATGGAAGTTTGCGAGAAGTATCCAGAAGGTCCATTAAGATTCCGGGGAACAGGAAGGCATAGATTCCGGCCATTCCGGTACCGGCACTTGGGGCAATTTGCGCCGTTGGGCGGAGAACAGACGGCGGCTCAGCTCCCCGGAGACTGGGTTTCCATCGGCTACAGCACACAGTGGCTCTGGTATTCCATCTACGCCAGGTACATATACACAAACAACCAACCAAACTCCATTATCATCTTCTTCTTCTTCTTCATCTTAACAATCAATCAATCAATCAATCTCATTGGATGGAATGCAGCAAGCAAGTAAGCTGGCGCACAAGGACATCTGTAGTTTCAGACTGGTTAAGGCGTTTCGTGTTTGGAAGAGACTCCAGTCGAATCTAGGGCATGCAATTATATATATATATATATATATAATAGAGTTATTTAATTAAGTTCAGAGATGGATAGATGGATCCGATGTGATCTTGTTTCCTTAATTTCCTCGACTAACTATTGCCATTTCACCATTTGTAGCAAATTCATTGCATTTTCCAAATGTTTTTACGAGGAGGGGAGGGGACTGACATTTCAGCTTGGGATTAGAAATTGTTAGTAATTAATTACATTTCAGTAGTCAACATGTATGTTTGGCACTGAATGTGGAACGGAAAAAATGGTCGATGCTGTAGTAAAAAAATATTGACATTTTTGTGACCATTGCGATTGATGACAGTGACACTAATGTTAATGTTCTTGATACTATCATAAGCATTTGCATTCACTGAGAAAAGCTAGCCAATTTTATATATATCTGCAAGCACATTCAGAAAGTATGCATTGAAATTTCCCGAATTTAGTAGTCAAATCAAATCATTTTGGCATAATAATGTACTTTATGGTGGACTTTTAAAATGAGCATAAAATAACCAAATTAAATGGGGTCTAGGAGCCTAGGAACAGCCGCGGGGCAAAATGTCCGTTTTTATCGATTTAATATATATACATATGTTGGAGTGCAAACCCAAGTTGTAAAGAAAATTGCACATCTTATAAGTGTCAAGTGAATTTTATTAGTACGACGCATTTTGGAGGATATCCAAAAATAAATCCGTACGGGTTCAGTTCAAAGAAATTGTATCAGGGCCGGTTAGATGGTGAAACGGACTGAGCACAACTGAATGAAGAAAGGAAGAAAAAGGCAAAAATTAAATATTTAAAAAAGATTCAACAAAATTACTTAGAATTTATTGTTCTTTTTTTAAAAAAAGTAAAAAGCTAGAAATTAAAGCAGAAAAATTACAAAAAAAAATTAAAAGGACAAGTTGCTATAAATATATAATTTTATTATTTTTTTTTTTTAAAAAAAAACAATATATATATATATGATAATTTTTATTGATTTTGCATGTAATCTATCATGCGAGGTGGGGGTCTAAATGCAAAAATTAACCATTAAACATAAAACAACATTGTTAGATAAATTAATTTTTCTGTGGTAAAAAAATATGTGTTCGTAATATAAAAAATAATATTTTGATTGATTTTTTTATATGCTGATAATATATATTATATTAATGTGTATGTATATTTGTATTTTTTAATAATATTTATGAAAAAATATTACATTAAGAAAGTTTGGGTAAACATATTATCTTTTATACAATTTTTAATACTTAACATAATTTAAACGCTTGAATCTAAAAACATAAAATGAACAAATTCTATCAAAATAGAGAAATATATAAATATATATATATATATATTAAATAAACACACTTGTTTTTCAAAATTCCAATGATCAAATCTTATTTGAAATGATAGTGTTTTGCTTGTTTTTAATTTAATTTATATACTCCCTTCATCCCGCAAGAAGGTTGTCATGATTTTTTTGCGTGTTAATCTTTAAATATTAATTATTATATTAATACACGGTAGAAATCAAGAGAAAAAGACAAAAATATATTTATTAGTCTCTTATAATACAGATACAATGATATTTGTCGAGTAAATTATTCAAATATAAAGATATTTTTAATGTTAAAGTAAAATGACGACAAAAACTAAATGACAACCTTCTTGTTGGACAGATAGAGTATTTTTTATTTGAATTCTAAATTAAATAGTATTTTATTTTATAAGAAAAGTAATACACTATATTATTTTTATTAATAAGTGTGTGACTAGTAGTGTTTAGTTTGAAACCAAACCACACAACTGTATTATGATTATTTTATATACTATTAAAATATTAACATGATTGTTTGATAACAAATTAAAAATTAATCCAAAATTACATGTGTAACAGTACGTATGTCCCAGGATCAAATTTGCAATTCTCACCACGTCCAGCTTCAAAACATCGTCAGCTTGTGTCTGTTTCTTGTGGCCGGCGGATGGATCTTCCTGTGCTGCATGTACTGCATTATCAATTTTGTTCATTTGTCGGCGTCGATATATATATTCGGAGCGAAGCGATCGAGGACGAGAAGAACAAAGCCGAATTAAGATTAACTGACGACGAGACAATCCTAATCTGTCTTATATTATTATCATTATCAAAAAAGTAATTAATACTAATATGTAATCCATCCATCCATCCATCTCTCCAGAGCTGTAAGATAATTACCTACCATGAAGTTGAGCAGTGCAGGACTAATTGCAGGTTCTCACAACAGGAATGAGCTTCTAGTCATTCACTGCAATGGAGAATCATCTGTCAGTACTCAATCAGTCTTCTCCAATTCCTTCCAAACTAAAAATAAAGTTACTACTACTATTTTTAATATTTTAATTTAACTTTCTTGGATCAGCGCAAGGAGGGCGATGAGCATTCGATTAGCGAGCAGACATGCCAAATATGCGGTGACGATGTCGGATTCACGCCGGAGGGGGACCTCTTTGTGGCCTGCAATGACTGCGCATTCCCTGTATGTAAAATATGTTATGACTATGAGCGTAGGGAAGGCTGCCAGGCCTGCCCCCAATGCAAAACCAGGTACAAACGCCTCAAGGGTTGTCCTAGAGTATTTGGCGACGAGGATGATGACGATGACGACGAAGACGATGATGATGGCATGGATGCCCTTGAGAATGATCAGCTGTGCATCACAGATGGAGATACCCAACAGAATTATCATCATACAATGAATATTGAAAGAATTGGTTCCCCATTCCACCTTCCTGGTAAATTAAATTGAGATTTTTGAAGATTTTTGAAATTTTGAAAATAATAAAAAGTTAGTATTTTAACGTGTTTGTGAGAGAAAAATATATATACATTTGATATGTGATATTTTTGAAAAGTTATAATGCTAAAGTCTCCAATATTATTGCGCAAACAAAGTTTTCATGTCCTTGCTTTCTATGATGTCATATGGAAACGTGTCTCTACAGTTGAACCAAGCTCGAGCTCCCTTGACCCTAATAATAATGGCTGTGGGAATGTAACATCGATATCGAAACCGTGGATGAAGAATCGTCAACTTTCATTGATGATGAATGAAAAGGAAGAGATGTATTACAGGGACGACTATGGCGATGAAGCACCAGATCTACCATTATTGTAAGTACCCGGAAAAAAAATGAATATATCTTGTTATGACAGTGAGAGTATATCTTTGAATTGCATAGTAAAGAAAAATTGAATGAAATTACCCAGTAGAGATGAATATATCTTTACATTTTGGATCTGTTCTTTTAGCATTTTAAATCAAAATCAAACAAACCTTTAATGGTGCTGCTTTTGAAGTCATGTTATACAATGTATGCATAAGGCTTATTTTTTCTTGACAATTAGGGTTTTTCTTAGGCAATTTGAACTATTGGTTTTTCTTAATTTGATTGATTAGGAGCAAGAGGAATGAGAGGCGACAATCACTATCAAGAAAAATACCTGTGTCATCAAGTCTAGTGAATCCATATCGAATGGTTATCATAATTCGTCTCGTAATTCAGGGATTATTCATCCACTATAGACTATCTCATCCTGTAAATGATGCTTATGCCCTGTGGCTGGTATCAGTAATGTGTGAGATCTGGTTTGCAGTGTCATGGATTCTTGATCAGTTTCCAAAATGGCTACCGGTTAACCGGGAAACCTACCTCGATCGATTGTCCTTAAGGTTTGGATCCCTTTTCTTCAATTTTCCAAAACTTCTGAATGCAAACTGAAAGAAATTAAGCTGGACTAATACATTGTGATGATATATAGGTATGAAAAGAAATGCGAAGCTTGTGAGCTTTCATGTATCGACATATTTGTATGTACAGCGAATGATCCGGCGAAAGAACCCCCACTGATCATTGCTAACACAATATTATCGATCCTTGCTGTGGACTATCCGGCGGAGAAGGTGTCGTGCTATGTTTCAGATGACGGAGCTTCCATGTTGACATATGAAACCCTTTCGGAAACAGCTCGGTTTGCTCGTAAATGGATCCCTTTTTGTAAGAAATTTGGGGTTGAACCTCGGGCTCCTGAGTGGTACTTTTCTGAGAAGATAGATTATTTAGAGGAGAAGGTGTTGCCAGCCTTTGTTAAGGAGAGACGTGCTATGAAGGTAGTAGTAGTAAATACACACACACACATATATATATATATATACACAACCTCAAAAGAAGGACTACTTTAAATTAATCATTCTGGTTTCAAATGCATTTCTTGATACATGAGTACATATGATCTCTTTAAGCAATACATTTAACATCCCCCATATGGTTAGGGTATTGCTTAGTCGAAATCAGCACATAAACGACTACTTCTCAGTGCATGACTTGAGTCAAATCAGCATATATTGTATGAATTGTTATCATATGTTCTCAATCCATATCATACATATCCGTTGTGTCAACATACATCTTGCGCCGAGATCAATAGTGGCACGTGCTATGTGAATTTGTCATCATATGGTGTTAGTTCACCATTTGTGTTATCTTACTATGCACATTCTCCATTAATCTTAATTAGCATATTCATGGTTGTAGAGGGAGTACGAGGAATTCAAAGTTGGGATTAATGGTTTGGTTGCCAAAGCACAAAAGGTTCCTGATGAAGGGTGGAGAATGCAAGATGGCACCCCATGGCCCGGAAATAATGTCCACGACCACCCTCCAATTGTTCGGGTATATATATATATATATATATTTATGTTTTTATCTTAATGAGAAGAAGATGGATACCTTACATCTATGTATCTTAATATGACAAAAAAAAAAAAAAAAATCGATTGCGTATTATATATGCCAAAATCATGACATGAATAATCCGTATTGGTATATGTATTGTTAAAGCTGTCAAAATGGATTAAATCCGTAGAATTGGTATACCTCGTCCTGCCTTAAAAGAAAGTTGGGCTAAGTCACTTTTAATTCATACCAATAGTGGTTCTTCGTGGCAAAATTTGTCAAACAATAGACAGTGAGTTGACTTTTTTTTTTTCTATCAATTTATTTTATAGTTCGAGAAAATCAATTTGAAATTTGGTATATTAACTTTAGATATAGAAGATTAAAAAATTTATAAAGTATGCCATAAAAGTTGGTCTGATGTCACTCGTGATTGCAAAATCATGGGTTTAAATCTGATGTGACAGGCCTATGAGTTGTGGCCTTTTTCAGGTGTTATCAGTTGGTGAACAAGACATTGAGGGAAATCAACTACCATGTTTTGTTTATGTGTCTAGGGAAAAAAGACCTGCTTTTAAACACCACAGAAAGGCTGGTGCAATGAATGCCTTGGTGAGTCATTCTCTTGTTTGTTAGTATTGTTTAAGGCCATGTTTAATTGACCAAAATATATAAACATATATATATATCATATTACATTAATGGCATGACAACTAAAGCCGGCAAAAACTGACCCGACACAAATCCGATACAAAATAATTGGGTTTGGATCAAAAATTTTAACTCGATTATGTAAACGTATTGATATGAACCCGACACGATAATAAACAGGTCGGGTTAGAGTTGAGGCTCTCAACTCGAACCTAACACGACAACCTGATTATAATATATTAATATTGATTACTATATTTATTATATATACAAAATAATTATAATTTAATAAATTTCTCATAAATTAATTTAAACTAAGTTCAATTTTAAATAATTTAACCTAATTAAATATACATATTATGTTCAAACCAATAAAAATTAGCATAACACAACAACACGAACAAAAAATAATTTGAATAATAAATTTTAACTTAATTATATATACAGATCAACACGAGTCAACCCGAACCAGACCGACACCATAATAAACGGGTCAACATGAACCCGACACGATAATAAACGGGTCGAGTTCAATCCGACACGATAATAAACAGGTCGGGTTAGGGTTGAGTAATTTAACCGGTTGAAAGTATTCAACCCGACACGATAATAAACAGGTCGGGTTAGGGTTGAGTAATTTAACCGGTTGAAAGTATTCAACCCGACACAAAAACCAGACACAAATCGACCAATTTCCAACTCTAATGACAACGTTCTTGTTGTATGTGACTTGTGACATCTATGTTTGCAGGTTCGTGTTTCTGGTATCCTCACAAATGCACCTTATCTACTGCATTTGGATTCTGATCATTACGTAAACAACAGCAAAGCCCTAAGAGAAGCCATGTGTTTCATGATGGACCCTCTCATTGGTAAAAAAGTTTGTTACGTGCAGTTTAATCTCAATATTAATCGACAAGATCCATGTGCTGCTGCTAATAGGAATATTTCACTTGATGTAAGAAACTGTCACTTCAACTCCCCAACTTTTTCCCTTTTCTTTTTTTTTAGGGTTTCATCATGGTGCAAATTAATTGTTGCAGATGAACATGAAAGGGCAAGATGGCATTCAAGGGCCCATGTATGTGGGCAGTGGATGTGTGTTTAGAAGGGTTGCAATATGCAGTTATGATGCCCCTATCCTTACCCCCACCCCACCCACCAGAAGAAGCTGTTGCATTTGTTGGGATAATAGATTTTGCTGTTGCCCAGAAGATGATGTCGACGGAAGATTTATTGATATTGCTCCAAACAAAACTCATCATTTTAGAACTGATCAAAGTTGCAATTTATATGATGGGGAATCAACCATTTACCGTCGAGGTCAGTCAATCTCACATTTCTTCGCTCTCATAATATTGAAAAAGTCTCACAAAATATGGAACTTTTATTTTAGACAATAGAATAATATAACTGAGAAAGTATGTATATATTTGCATGATTGGATGTGTGTGGAGTCACAAAGCCTAACTTACATGTATAATTTTAGGGGTAAAAAAATTATTAGGATAGTTCTAATTATAGTGTTTAATGAGTTCTAATAGTGCATAGAAATCAAATCTATCTTTTGTTTGAAATATTTGCATCATTTTTTATGTACCAAATCGCACAACTGCTTCTAAAAAGTTCATAATTATAACTTTTTTAAGAAAAAAGTATTGCACAAAACTTGTAAATTAAAGTACTTGGACATCAACTTGCTCTACCAATCACTACAAAAAAATAATCTATTTGTAACGAAATTTTGTCGTAACTAACGTAATTTCATTCCTAATTCTGTCTCTAATGTCATTAGTAACGGAAAAAATAGATTTAGAGAAAAAAAAGATTTGTTACAAAAATGATTTTTTCTTGTAGTGAATCCTATATTGATATGTTTGGAGATTATTTACTAAGTTTTTCAAGACATGTGGAAGTTGCGACATTTCTAAACTACAACAGAAATTGTATAAAATTTTCAAACTATAGGTAGATTATAGAAAATTTACCAAATCTACAATTTTCAATAAAGTTTAAGTATAGAAGCAAAAAAGGGGAAAAGTGAGACTTTTTGGCCATCACTTTGGACTACCCGAGAAGGGTAGCAAATTATAAATTCTGTTCCGGTAAAACATGCATTTCTATTACTATAAATTCATAAATAAAGTAATTAATGGTGAGATTACCATTATCCCTTTTTAGTGACGAATCTTAGCGTGTATGTATAAAAAGTGCTAGCAATAATCAAACGAACGAGGAATAAGTTTCTTTTGTTTTATTTACTTTTCATCTAATTTTTTTCTTCTCTAAAACAAACTTCATACACTAAATGAGACAACATATTGCACTTTAGCATGTATTTGATATGTTCTTCATAGCAGCCAAATATGATGACGAGAGATCAATTGTTTTGTCGGAGCATAAGCGAGAAGATAAATATGGTGAAGCTCCTTTACTAAATGCATCGACATTTTTCCGCGACAGCGGAGCATTAAGAAAGAGTGGCAGCCTTACATCTCTGTTGCAGGAAGCCTACAATGTAGCTAGTTGTAAATATGAAAATAAGACTGACTGGGGAAAAGAGGTAAAATTTCGACAAAATTTCTTAATATTTCTGTCTTTAATTTGTAGTAGTATCCTCATGTTGATAATTTTCCAAAGTTATGATTTCTCAATCTAAGAATTGGGAAATAAAACTAGAACAATTTAATGTAATCACAATTAAATAAAACCATTGTGAAGAAGTTGTAATTTTGTGTTTTAGGTGGGATGGATATATGGTTGTGCTACTGAGGACATTTTAACTGGATTTAAAATGCATTGCCGCGGATGGCGATCGATATATTGTGCTCCCGTAAGACCAGCCTTCAAATATGCGACCCCAATCGATCTATTTAAGTGCCTGAATATAGCCTCGCATTGCGCTCTTGGATCAGTCGAAATTTTTTTAAGCAAGACATGCCCTTTGTGGTATGGATACGGAGGCGGCCTAAAATGTCTTCAACGTCTGGCCTACGTTAACGCAACTTTATATCCCTTGACGTCGATCCCGCTGGTAGTGTATTGCTCGTTGCCAGCCGTGTGCTTGCTGACCGGAAAATTCATCATCGCCGAGGTAGGTAACGTAGTGTTGCTATATTCGTCGATAAAAAGACTACATACATAAAGTTTGAAGCTTGACATTTTCGTGATTGTTAATGAATGCAGCTCAGCAATGTTGCTAGTATTTGGTTTATATCGCTTTTTATGTGTGTGTTCGCGACGAGTTTGCTCGAAATGAGATGGAGCGGAGTTAGCATGGAGGAATGGTGGAGGAGCGCGCAATTTTGGGTCGTAAGAGGTGTCTCCGCGGATCTTTTTGCCGTGTTTGGAGGGCTCGTAAAAGTAGTGGCGGGTGTCGACATTATTTCTAGAAATATAGACGAGGAGGAGGAGGATGATGATGATAATGACGACGAGGAGAAGGAGTTGTTTAAGTTGAACTCTTTCAAGTGTACCAATGCCACTCTTCTTGTTCTTCCAACTTCTCTTGTTATACTAAATGTGATCGGAATTGTTGTTGGGATTTCGGATGCTATACGCAATGGTTGGGAAACGTTGGGGCTTCTACTCGGCAAGATTGTGTTCGCGGGTTGGGTGATTGTTCATCTCTATCCATTCCTCATAGGCATAATGAGAAGCCAAACCTTGAGGACACCCGTTGTCATTGTAGTTTGGTCGATGGTACTTGCATCTATACTCGCTCTCATGTGGATTCGAATCGATCCTTTTGTTGCGGAATCGGATGATCTAGTACTAGAAGATTGTGGTTTAAATTGCCCTTGACTATATCGCTTTGTTTGGGAAGAAAATGTAATAGACTTATGGTATATATAGGTAAGGCAGTCCATCTAATCTATAATAGACTTATGGTATATACTTATTGTATGTAAGTTCTATCATTTATTTAAAATTTCAAATCTATTGTGTATTTAAAAAGTGATTTAATTAAATTAGCATACTAATTTGAAATGATTAATATTTTTTATCACACCATATATAACATATATTATGTTATATAAAAACACTAAATATTAGGATTATATATTTTGTTATTATTCTGTGCATAAATGTATTATGTTATATATTGTATGACATTTGCAATCAAATATGTATTACTTTCCAAATAATATGTGTTGATTGGATAAATCAGCACCAACACAGGAACCAAAGCGATCTAAAACACTACCAAAAACTAACTAAAACAAACAAAATATTGTTCAACTCAGGGTAGACATAGGTGTTGTAAAAATAACAAGGTTCAAACTTTTGTGACCGTGAGATCATAGGTTCAAACATCTGACGCCTCAGGTCACCTGCCACACATGATTTGCGTTTATCCAGTGCGTACTTTCAGATAGCAGCCGCGGGTTTCCGCGTCATCCAAAAAAAATAATAATAAGGTTCAAACTTTGATTTAGTGGGAACCTATGGGTAAGGTGAAAAGCATGAATAACCTAGTAGTAGGGATGGGCAAAAAAATCGAATCGAACTGAATCGAATTAACCGAGCAAATTCGGTTCGAATACAAATATTGCATATTTAATATTTGCTCGGTTCGGTTTCGATTTTTGATATTTTTTTCGATTCAGTTAACCGAACCGAATATATTTATATATTTATGTTATTATATTTTAAAATTTATATTAATAATTATATTTGATTCGATTTCGGTTCGGTTACAGTTCAATTTCGGTTCAGATATTTGAAATATTTGCAAATATTTTGATTAAATTAGAATTTTAAATATTTTTTAATATATTATTTTTTAATTTCGGTTCAGTTCGAATTATTTACAAATATTGCAAATATTTTCGGTTAAATTTTCAGTTCAAATACGGTTCACAATTTCGGGTATTTGTTCGGTTCGGTTCAGATCGGATATCAAATACCTGCGTATTTACAAATATCCAAACCGTGTCCACCCCTACCTAGTAGCACATGAAATCAATTAGTATAGAAAATACATAATATTAGCAATAATTTGGAGGCAAGTCCTGAATTTGGGATCAAACTAAGTAGCCATATAGTATGTTTTATTCTTTGCTTCCACTGTACTGTCCTAGAACAAACCCTATAACAAATATCGATCAATGGCGTCGTGATCTTGAATCAAGAGTTCAAATTAATGCAGCCAGAAATATAGGATTACTCAAAAGCACAACATACCGGAACATGCTTGGCAAAGGAAAAGCACAGTGACTGGATATAGAAGATCAAACAATTCTACACATCCTGGCCAGTTTAAAATGTTCCTATTATATATCTTGTTCCTATTCACATCTCTGCAGCAAATGATTTACCACATCCACACGTTTGAGTAGCATTTGGATTCGTGAAGTTGAAGCCTCCTCCAATGAGTGCATCGCTGTAATCCAGCTGCATACCAAAGAGAAACAGCAGGCTTTTGGGATCGCAAACTGTATGGCAAAAGTCATTAGTGTAATGTCGTTGAAAGCACTAAAAAGATAAATCCATATAATCACTTCTTGGACAAAATGTTCACAAACTTGTAAGCTATATCAAATTAAATTCAAAGGATAATCGACATGTATAGCCTAGACAAGATGATCATGTAAATAACTAGTGAACGAAAACTTGAATGATCTAAATCTGATTTTGAATACTCGTGTTTTGGGGTGAGAGTTAACACTCTTTTGAATGTTTAAGTTCCATAGCCGGTGGTTTTTGATTCACGTAACATATCTTATATTAATAAGAATTATGTCTTCAATTACCAATCACAAGCAAGAAGGGAAATAAACTGGAATATCCCATCATACCTATAACAAAACCATTGTATTCCATGACAGAATCATCGGGTCTGGCATTTTCTTTGCTCTCAAAATCCATTGTGTACGACAAGCCAGAGCATCCACCTTGTTTGACACCAATTCTAAGACAGAGGTCTTCACCTTTCTCAGATCTCATCCTATTTAAGTGCCTCAATGCATTGTCCGTCAAGGCAATAGCAGCTGGTGATGGTACTGGAACATGCACAAATGACAATGCTCAAATAAGCCAGTTAGCACTTTGTGATCATAACTTTCTTCAGACATGCAATTTCTAAGTATCATAAAAATCGCATCTGAAAAGTAGGTCACACTATGTGATGTTGCATTAGTTTTAGTTATAGATATAATGCCCTGAAATTTCAGATAAAGAAATACACATTAACAGCTTCATCTTTCAAATGCAAACATTGAAGAATCAAATTTAGTTGTGTTTGTTTGTTTCAATCTTACTTTCATGCTATACAATCTATAGTAAGATATCTCTTCTCCATAAAGACATCACATATAGTTCTTATTTATCATTGAAAACATTACATCCAAATCCTATCTTCCTTTCAAAAATTTCAAACCCGAAACACCCATATGAATCAACAATCCTCCAAACCACAAACATATGTATGTGTAAGGAAGAGGGAAGTAAGGATAAATGTCCAGACATTCAAAATAAGAGAATACATTGTGAAACTAGAACTAAATATGTTTTCTAAGTCAAATTATATATATTACATTGGTGTTCCTCTTGGTAAATGTTACACACAAAAAAAACTAAAATACAATTGCAAATGGAGTAGTTGAGGTGGATGCTCGTGTTCCATGAAAAGCATAAGGTTCTTTAGATTGTTGAAAAATACTATGCGACCAACACCAAGAGACAATTAGGGAAGGATCCCATCAATCAGGTAGAGGTGTGAACTTCACCGGATTAAAGAACCTTTCTACATGAATCTCCAAACTACACCTCTTTTGTCCTAAAGACGAAAACTTAGGAATCAACAACTATTTTTATAACTATATACTAGAATCTTGAAAGATCAAATGAGAAATAAGAAATTACAGAAGATATAAAATCATCTCGTTGTTGGCAATGTTTTTCTCCAAGGCCTTTGAAGCCGATATATAGGAGATTAGAATAGATACTATTATATAGAAAGTTGTGAAACAATTGGAAGTACAATATAAATTAGCTTCATCGACACATTGACTTATTCCTCGTCCATTTATCCAACCAACTTTGCCCGAGTCCACAAGATTTTGTGAGACTGGTTTGACCCTGCAGTCAGCCAACCCTATACTCAGAGTCAATACTACTGGTCTATATGCAACATCAACTTATCCAATCTCACAAAACCCGGTGGGTCTTGCTAAAGATTGATTGGAGAATTGGATTGGGAAACAAGTCAACTTACCTACTCCAATCTCTTATAAATGTGTTTCGAAGGAATTGGAGAGAAACACAGCAACAAAGAAATGCATTATGTTTGGGGGTTTGGATTTTGAATTGGAATTTGAATAGTAAAAATTTTGAATTGAAATAGTTGTATGATGTGATATAAATAAGTGTTGATGTAATGTTTTGAATGTAAAATTAATTTTTAGTATTATATAAAAAAACATAAAAAATAGGTATTTGATTTGATATTTTGAGGTGGGGGAGGGGGGGAAATTTGAAAAATAGTAAATTTTGGGGAAAATCTTGAAAACGAAGAACACACCCATATATATTCTTTGTTTCCCTCTCCTTCTCCTGATCTTTCACATTTCTAGTAGTAGTTGTTGATTCCTAAGTTATATCACTGAGAGCCCTTTTTGACACGAAAAGGTTCTTTAGCCCTGCATAAATGCCTCAATCTAGTTGCTAGAATATTTTCCACGATTCTTGCGAAGCATTTTCCAACAGTTTCCACCAGCATACATACTCCACTTGTTTTGTATTCAATTGTCTAAACATAATCATCTTCAAATGAAAAACACTGCTGATCATCAGTTCTGAAGCTCTAAGAACCAAACAATGGCTTAAATAGAGCAAGCTAACAAACCAAGAATCCAGAACTTCAAATCCAAACACAAATAACAAATTCACAAAAATTAAGTCCATACATAACAGGCTTTAGGCAGGCACGCAAGTATATAGCACAGATGCATACCACATACAAACTACCAAATAAAAATTGGAACAAATTTGAGGAGATGTAGAAATAATTGTGATTATAATGCAAAGCTAATGTGTACTGCACATTCAACATCCTAAGAAGGAGTCCTTACTATATCAGAAAGATATCATATTTCTTCCTCCAGTCTTCATGTAAGGAATTACTTTTACACTTTAACATGCCCTTCAACAATTTTCAAACTTATTTTTCCATCCAATCGTCGCACTCCAAATAAGTCTTGCCTAAACTAAATTCAACATCTGACAAGGTCAGCAACCATTTCTTCCAACAAATCATAATTACTAAAGACATAAAAGGACAAACCCTAGAATAAATCGAAAAACAAAACAAGAAAGAAGAGAAAATAAAAATAAAAAACTTTGAGAACCATAACGGCATACATCCCTACCTTCAACAGATGCTGACCTAATCGACAATAGGGGTTTGTTACGGTGGAGAAATGAAGGCGAATATCGGAAAGAAACATGAGCAGGTGAAGAAAAAGTGGAAATTTGAGAAGGGCTTGAAGATCGATTCAAGCGAGAGAACGATAGGAGCCACAAATCGTGAGATAAAGCCATGGAATGGTATGGTTTGTTGAACCAGTGCTTCCTGCCTGCTCCCCCGACGAATTGTAAAAATTATTTGTGATCAGCAGCTCCAACAGCGTCGATGAATAGAAAGAAAACAAGCATTGGAAGGAAGAATTTGTTGTTGTTGTTGTTGTGTGGTGGACACGTGCGGCACGTGTATGTCTGTATTATAACATGTGGTTGGACTTCGATTACTTCTATTTATATATTTATCTAATAAGACTGAGTTTGAGGTTTAAACATTTTGAGCTGTATGCATTTGTCTATGAAAGTGCTTGATAAATATTACTCCCGCCGTCTATTTTTTTTATTTTTTATTTGATATTTACACGTATTTTTAGGTAATTAAGATTTTTTTATAAAATAATAATAAATAAAGTAAGAATAAAATAATAAATTTTGTGTATAAAAATAAAAAGAAGACATAATTGTTGAACATTTCAAATAAAAAAGTAGGACGATGTGAATAGTTTATATGAGATTTTTAGTTCATCAAATAGCTTTGAATTGTCTTATTAAGTTTAGAGTTTTGTAAACTAGTAAGAATTTATCAAAATACTCAATTTCAAATCAAAATTTAGAGTTTTTTTAATAATTATTTCTTCTATTTTGCAGAATTTTCAATAAAAATATATTATTTTTTATAAAATATCATATTAGAATTTTATTTAAATAAAATTTAAATAAAACAAATTTCAACTTCAAACAACAAGGAAATGAACTCTAAATAAAATGACCGTGAATTTCATTTTTTTTAAAAATAGTAATTACCAAAACAATTGATACGAAACATATACAAAGTCAAAAATTTGATACCATATTTTTAATAATTTAATGTGATATTTTTTATTTGATCTTTGTAATGTCATTTTAGTGTGAATTTGTTTAGTGAAATTACTTTAAGAAATTTTTTTTTTTAAGTGAAATATGAAATAATATAAAAATAATTAATATATGTAATATATTAAATTTTAGGGAAAAATGTATTTTTTGAAATTCCGTAATGTCGATGAACAATTAAATTTGCATTCATAAATTTGCATTCATATTCCCTCTAAGAATAATCACATACTCTCAACTCAATTACTTTCTCCGTCCCAAAAATCAATGCGGGATGGATGAAGTATTAATCTATTTTTATTTTTACCTCTATTCAAATGAAAGTGGAGGTATGTTTTAATTTTTTTTGTCACTACCAATTTATTTAATAATCTTTTTTTTAAGGAAATTTAATTTTAAAAATGATACTATAGTTACAAAGTAGAGAAAATATATACAAAATAATAATAATAATAATAATAATCATCTATTTTAAAGAACAAAATAAACACTTGAACATGGGATTCTCATATATATTTATATTGTTTGTTTCCCTATATATATATATATATTACATTTTTTACTATTCAATTTATGAGAACATAACACTATATATTTAATTCTTCAGAACTGAATAATTATTATATTAAAATAAATAAATAAATAAATAAAGAATAAAAAAAGAAGAACAATAGGGAGAAGTAGACACATTGGATGGGAGATAAGTCTTAAAACAAAAATATGCTCGAATAGTGAAATCTGTAGCCAGGGACTGTGAAGCAATCAATGGTCTCAATAAAAAAAGGAAAACACTCCAAGTTAAGGTTTAACAACAAAGTTTGAGAACACAACGACAACTACAGACACTTTTGAGGATACAAACCTCTCATGGTTTAAGCATATCGGATTATCGACTTTTCATTAGACAACATTCAATAGGACAGGTTCTTTCGTTATTTTAGAAAAACCTGGGTGGGTTCCATTTGGTTTTGTTCTATTCCATCAGTTTGCCACAGTTTCATGCGCCGCTTGCATATAAACGGGTCCATTCTTTAGCTGAGATAAGGACGCCAAACAAACTCGATCAACTATAGCTCTCTTATTATCCTACCAAGGCACAAAGAAGGCACACGCACCTGTTTCGACAGCTTCAGCCTCGTTTGATTTCCAATGCTTAGCAATGTTTTCAGAAAGTGGGTCGTCTGGATTTGGAGCACTCAAGAGTGCCTGAATGCTAAAAATAGGCAACATAATGAAAGCTCAAAAAGTAGTACACAGACAAACAACAAAGGACGAATTGTATTATCTAAGCGAAAATGCCATGCAGGTGTGTTTAGCGAAAAGGTTAGGCCGGATAATCAAATTATCGAGTTTAATAATATGTATGCCTACTATAGGCCTATGATTAACCTCAAGGTCACAGGTAAATGAACTACACACTATTGAATAATCTAATCTACACTTAGGATTGAAATAAACATACAATATAATCCTGTCTTACTTCTATCTTACATAGCAAGTATGATAAATTTCTGCTACGGTCTTGATTTTTTAGAGGCAAATATTTCAGGTGAAAAGGCTCGCCGTAAATTAAAATTATAATTTGTTACCTCAAAAGTACAGTCCGAATCTGAAGTGCAGGGCTCCACTTGTCTTTGAGAATATCTAGGCATATCCTTCCAAGCTGCGTTAGAAATTCGATTAGGTGGAAGTTAAAAAACAGCAGGATTTCATCAACAAAACAGAAACAAGGGCAGCAAACCTTATCAATGTTTGGGTGGTAGATTTTTGTAAGGAAGCGAACCTGTTTATTTAAAATGCAAAAAATAGTGAGCCATATTAAAACCACAAAATACACAATCTGGTTGTATGATTGTTATATCATGCTCAAACTCATAACTCATTAGTGTTCATCCAGGTGTAAGATTAATTGACCAAATCTGGAAGGAAAAAGGTTAGGCAATGACATCAATTACAAACAGGCTGCACATGTGGTAACCAATCACTAGGCACTCACTTGGATAAAAACAAAAGAGAGACACTTCCGCATCCTCAGCACAATGCTAGATCTTTTAAGAACAATAACATCATCCTTGTTGAACAAGCTTATCTAAATGTTTAATCTGATGGGGAGGATATATCATTTTAAATCTTATATTTTTTTATGTCAATAGCTTTTCATGGAAAATCTTTTCATAAAACCTTGCACTTGAAAACAACTTTTTATGAAAGGTTGATGGTACAAATTCAAACCCAAGACCTTCACCCCATTGCCTAAAAGTTTAAATAAGTAGTGAGACTCATTTAATTATATCAAATTATTCCACACTTCAAAACTATACAAACAAATGAATGAAACAAAAAAGTACAATACATAATCTCTCGTTGCAGACAACCAAAAATGTTGCAAGGGTATAAATATTGAGTCACAGGAAAAGAAGTGGAAGCATAAATGAATAGCTCATTTTTCAGTTTTTTCCTTAATGTCTATCTTAATCTGTTTTTTAGTGCTTATCATAAGGAAAGGGTGTTTTGAACATGGTTTTGAGAGGCAATGACTGAAGCAGGCATATTACAGAATCTGTTGAAAACTATTAATGAAATGTCATCACACAATTTTATTTCTTGACGAAACCCTGCTTTAATGACAATAAGAATGTGGATACAGCAGTGGGTCCCGATTTTAAATGATGTGATAATATCAAATTCCAACTACAGGGATCAGTTCTAACTCAGTCCCTTAACACCAAACTCCAATAAAGATATAGGGATAAAGGCTGTGAAATTCAATTCAACATAGGGTATTAATCTTTTTCCCCAATAATTTCTTTATAAACAACAAAACCCATAAGAAATCATCTTATTTCATAGAGCCAGATACAATACCTTTGGGGCTGCCATGGGGTATTCTTCCGGTAAAAATAACTCCAGCTTAAAAACACCACCTAATAAGTAAGGAAGAAATTAGTAAAACAGAATTTGATATCTTAGATTTGAAAATGACTGAGACATAGTTGGCACAACAAAAGGGCATACTGAAGATGCACAATAGAAAACAGATATACCGTCCTTGCAGTGAACATCAAACATTCATTTAGAGGCAGTAGCCAAACTTATGCCCCAGCAATAACCAACACTATGTATTTGAAATTTATTTCAGGAAACAACAAAAAATAGAATAGATACTACCCAGACAAGGCAATTACCCAAGTCAGAAAAATTATACAGCTAAATACAGCAGTGAATTACCATGAATCAAGAACAATTCGATACTTGTAATTGAAGTTATCAACTTAAAAATATAAGTCAACCAATTCTACCACAATCACTACTTTTTCAATACATATGTATCAGAAATCAGTATACATATACAATGCAGAGTTGGAATCTTCTAGAAACATTCCTTTACTCTACTATCAGGAAGTTCAGAAATATCAATAAAAGCGGGAGAAAAGATAAAGATTGTGTTTGTTTGGGGGTTTTGATTTAATTCCTACTATTCACAAATTTTTTTCCCCAAAAAAACATCGAATCAAATACTTATTTTTTATTTTTTATATTAACTAAAATTCAAAACATTACATCAGTTCCTATTTATATCATATCAAACAATTATTCAAATTCAAAATTATACTATTCAAATCAAAACCCCCAAACAAATACGACCCCATAAGGAAATAATTAATCGAAGTATTGCATTACGGGAACACTGCGATTGACAATGAGACACTTCACCACAAATATCCAAGAGGAAAATATCATTCTTGAAGGAACAAGATAACATAAAAATGTAATTTTTCTACCTTCATAAGGGGACTGAGCTGGACCAAGAATCATTACATTGAAGTACCGCATATTTTCTTCTGAAGGTGATGCGCTAATTCCCGGTGCTGCATCAATACATGTGGATAAAACTCAAATGACTAGCACTTCTACACAACCTCAATTAACAAAGATAGGCAACATAAAAATGTTCTCAATACGATCAAGCTCAACTAAGAGAATAAATAAGCAAGGACAAATAAATGCTCAAAATTGCATGCTTCACAATCATGATCAGTTTTTTCTTGTATTCAGCATCAGTATCATGGCTATCAACGCCTGAAAAGGAACAGTAGGAAAAAAAAGAAAAGGGAAAACTCATTCTGCAGAATTTTTAAGGAATGCTTTCCTCTTCCAAGTTTTTTATTTCCCTTTCCCATTCAATTTCTTCCATCCCTAACTCCCTAAAATGAAAGGCAAAAAAATGGATGCTTTTTTTTTTTTTTTTGATATATCAATGTCTAAAATAAATTTCAGAACCAAACCTAACGAATGACAAGCATCACAAAATGATAAAAGCTAAGCACATCATAAGGCAAAAAATCGCAGATTAAGATAACACTCAAATAACAACAGCAAAATAGAATTCAAAAATTGCATTTCAGCTCTTCCACATCCAACAAAAAAATCCAATCCCGCTTCCAATGCATGCATGCGATGAAAAATTAAAAGAATTTACCTGGTTCACTCAGAAGCCGCTGGGTCTCCTGATAGATCAAAAACCACGAATCCAAAGAAAATACGAGATATTGCACAATTAGCATACCGATCGAAAAATAAAAGCAAAAATCAACAAAAATCGAACAACCCGCACACGATAGGTCATAAATTAGGGTTTAACAAGAGATTAACAGAGGGATCGCAGCAATCGGAGGCCATACCTTGATAATTCTCCGCGGCAAATTGCTGTTGGCCATTGGGATTGAAGTTGAGGTGACTTTTTTTTTTGTTGGTTTCTTTCTTGTGGGTTTCTTTTGAGTCGGAGAGTGTACGCTAACAAATGCGCGTTAGCGTTTTCGTTCGGCCATTCCTTCGCTTTTTCGTTCTCAATTTTCTGAATTAATCAAAAATAAAAATAGATTAATTCGGAATTATGCTCAGTCTTTTTAACTAACAAAAATTAGGGTAATAGTCCACTATTTTGGCGTACTCCCCTTATTTTGAGTAAATAAGTAATAATAGTATTTTTTTTTATTTATTTGATGAGTAATGTGTAATAATAAAAAAAATTACACACACAGTAAAAGGGGAGAAGGGGTGTGTTTCTTTTGCGAGGATGTTAAAAAAAAAATAAAAATTATGACTATATATAAAAAATTATGTAGAAAATATAAAAATAATGAATGTGTGTAATATATTAATATTTTAAAAAAAATAGAAGAAAAAAAAAGAATGAAGAACAAAGCTCAAATCCTTCCTTGCTCCAACAAATAAAGTTTTGACAATGGATGAGAAAAAAAAAAAAAAAAAGATGGTGTGTTTTTTTATAAATTTTTTTCAAATTTTTATTATTTATTAATTTTTTAAAAAAATATCAAATTAAATAATTATTTTTTGTTTTTATATTATACTGAAAATAAATTTGCATTCAAATCATCACATGACACCTATTTATATTATATTATACAATTATTTCAATTCAAAATTTTTATTATTCGACACACACCAAAACTATAGGATTAGTATTTAAAATTTATGTGTTTTAAGATTATATTTCTATTACTTATTAATTTATTCATTTAAAAATAAATAATATAAAATTATATCCAAAATTATTTTTATTTTCATTATATATTAGTTTATTGTAGAATATTTTTTTTAAATATCATATTCAAATACTATTTAAATATAATTTCATAAAAAAAAATATTATATAGATTAGTAATAAATTTAATAAATATTATATTTAAATTTAATTTTTTTAAATATCTTAGTATAATGTATTTTTTGGTAAAAGAATAATACTCCTATAATTTTACAAATTATAAAATAATGCAAAAAATAAAATAGCATAAATAAAAATTAAATTAAGATATTTTTAATACAAATATATTATTTTTATTACTCCCAAAATTAAAATTAAATAAATATAAAAAAATAAACTCTTGAAATACTATTCAAATTATTTAAATTTAATGTATTTTTGAAAAATTTATAAAAAAATATGTTAAACACTCTATGACAATATATAAAAAAATTAATATGGTGCTCAAATGACAATATATAAAAAAATATGCTAATACATTTCTCAAACTTAACGTGGTAAAGTAGAAACTAACTTGAGTTTGCTAGAACCGGCCTGAGAAGAGGGACTTGGTAAAGATATCCGCAGTCTGATCCTCGAAAGAGATGGAAGATAGATGAACAGTGCCTGCACGAACATACTGACAAACAAAGTGACAATCAATTTCAATATGTTTGGTGCGTTCGTGAAAGACATCATTATGGGAGATCTGAATTGCGCTCGTGCTGTCACAATGGACGGAAATTGAACAAGGCTCAGGAACCCCAATATCAATAAGAAGCCGACGAAGCCAAATGAGCTCTGAAGTCGAATCCACAAGAGCACGATACTTAGACTTTGCACACCAGAAAAAGAAAAAATTACAGTAAAATCCTGCTCAACCAACTAACCGACAGACGCAATGTGATAACTAAATCTGTTTGAATGTAGTTTATACATTTTCACAGGGAATTTATATTCGAAAATCAGTAAGTGAATGTTTATAGAAAAGCGGTCAAATATAGTAAAAATTGTGGTTGTAGACCCTGAGTAGTTATCACAATTATTTATACTCTTTTTACCGATGAATTTCCAGGTCGAACACAGGGATTTTAAATCATGAATTTCAAAACAAGTATAGATCTTGAGAAAACGGCAAAAAATGCAGTAAAGGGCTCGTTCTGCAGCGGATCCAGACTAGTCTAAGGAAAGCGGTAAGTGAAAGTGGTAAAGAGCGAGTGGAGGCGTATGTGAGCGGTGGAGTGCCAGTGGTAACCGAGTGAACTGGACATGAACGGAAGCGATTATCGAGTGAACGGGACATAAGCGGATGACGATTACCGAGTGATCGGGACATGGACGATTACCGAGTGATCGGGACATGAGCGGATGGCACGATATGTATATGTATATATATGTGAACAGCGGAGAGTGAGGGAGAGGTGTTGTGTCCGACTTGTGCGTTACTAAATGGCTAGGCTTTCCCGGATGTAATGAGCGAGTGGTGTAGGTGTGTTAACGGAGATATATGTATAATACGGAAGAACTCTTAACACTGGAATTTGACCTTAAGGGATTTACAACAAGACTTCAATGACACTCAGAATCGGAATATTATAAGAAAGAAACCCTACTATCACTAGGAACTTCTGTGACCTAATAGACCACCGTCTATGCCCCGTGAATTATCCCAACTTCTGCCTCATTAGTGGTTTTACCTTTCTGTTACCTCTTTTTAATCAAAATTGAATTCAGAACAGTAGTTAAGCAGGTCGACAAGGCTCCCGCGTACTTAACTATATTGAACTACCTTGAAAATGTTTTTGACAAAAGACAAAGCTTAGATAATCAATTCTTCTCGTGCTCTAAACCAATGATATGAAATTCTTTAAATTCAAAGTTTATATAAGTATGAAGAAAATGTGGAAAAAATATAGATAAAGAACTGAATGATATTTCATTACTTACTAATAAAGTTGGGAATGCTAAAACTACAAAGCTGTAATTGAAAGCAGTAAGCTACTCTAAGAAAGTGGTAAAGTCTTGGCCAAGGGGAAATCCCTACTCCCTTGGCCATTCCTGTGGAGAACTTCCTTACAGGGTTGGAGCTCTCGAAGAACAGGAAGACAGCTAGTTTGCGCAGAAATTAATTGCTAAATTATTCTATATCGAAGTATATTTACAAAGAGATATCTTGCCCTATTTATAGTATGTGAAATGGAACGGTTACAAGCAATTGCTAGGCAGTTCCAACCGCTAGGCAGTTAGGCGGTTGATGGCAGTTATTTTGTTGAAGCAATTGCTAGCCATAACTCCTAGGGTGCCCGCTTCGCTTGCATAGGATAGTAAGGGCTCAGATCTTCCTCGCTTGCTGGAGGGCATCAGCGCAGCTAGGCTTGCTTATGCTGGCTGGAAGTGGAATGGCTATACCGCTGCAGTGGGAACACTTAGTCAAAATCTGCTGACATTCTGCAGCGGTGGGTGTCTGGGTTGTCGCTTGCAAGCGGAGGTGGCTACCGCTTGTGGCGTCTGCATTAGCTTTTCTGGCACTACCGCTTGAAAGGAAAAAAATTGTTAATAATCACAACAACAAACTCTGGATCATTCCAAGCGATATAGATCAATAATATATGCCATTAACAAATTATGATGCTGGTTTTTATACAGAAATTCAAGTAATACACAATTTTGTCAGATGTCATGTGGTTACAACATGCAGAATCAATATACCATGTGTTGTTACCTGATGTCGAGGCTAATGAAGGATGAATTGATAAAAACCTGAGTGAGCATGTAACGTAGGTCCTCAAGAGTGGGAGACGGTTGAGGCGACTGTGATACGCTAGTGGCAGCAACAATGGCAGAGGAAGAGCCCGAAGAGGACTGACCAACCTTAGGATTCTTGGGACAATGCGGACGGATGTGGCCTTTCTGATGACAGTAGTGACACTCAACCTTAGGGAAATAAATATAAAGATGATCAGCATTCGGGCAACTGCGACATTTATCAGACTGCGGTGGTCGGGCATCCTTGCGATTATCTCTGCGATGAGGAGTGGAAGAGGGAACTGCCAAGGCATAATCAAGAGTAGGAGCCTTGAGCATCTTGAGGCGGGTGTCCTCAAATAAAATCTCCTTCTTCGCTGTCTCCAAGGAAGGCAAGGGATGATGATGAAGCAAGGAAGCACGCACAGACTCAAATTCTGGACCAAGCTTCATCAAGAGTTGAATCAACCGAAAGTACTCAATCTGTATGTCGGCCTCATCAATGTGATCCCACATAGACTGTATAGTATAGAGGAACTCATTCATATCTTGGCGCGAGTCATATATCAGTGCATTCAATGACCCTAGAAGCTGATAATAATGCATGCCTCCAGTGGCTTGATATCGATGCTGCAAATAATCCCAAGCTTTCTTAACAGTGTCCATGCGGCGAAGTTGAATCTAAATAGACTTGGAATAGGTATTTTGAATCCAAGTAAGAATAATGTGGTTCTTACTATCCCACTCATCCAAGGCATTCCGATAGTCCGTGAGATCCTTATTGTTGAGGGGCGCTGTAGAAATGACAACAAGAGCAACCGGTATAACACCCTCAGTTGGCTCATACTGGAAATGCTACCGCCACACTGCATCATGAGGTCGTCACCTCCTACTTGGGCTCCACAATACAGTGTTAAGGCTAAAATTAACCATAAAAGCGCATTATTATATAACAAAATCTGATTTATGAATATTTACAAACACGCTCCTAAACAAGAGGTTTTTCTGGTTAAAAATTTACATATAATATAATAGATGTAGGTTCACTCACTAAGCCCGTCTTTCCATATCCCGAGACGTCCCATGTCTCGGATGTGCCATGCATACCTGAAACAAATATTTTTCTTAAAAGCAGTTTAGAATTAAATCCATTTTAAGAACTAACGTGAAATATGTCATTTCATACATTTTTAAAATAAAGTCTAATTCTCGTTAATCATGAAATACGTGTCATGTAATGCCAATAGTGAAATGATGCAACAAAGATATCAAACTCGACAACAATGCACATCTATATATATATCTGCCGAAGTGAGCAGCCAGAATAACCTCAACTCCATAATAATAAGCTCACTACATCTGTCTAAGTGAGCAACCGGAATAACCTCGGCCCCGTAATAACAAGCTCACTAGACCATCATCAATAAATAGCCGGAAAATCCTCGGCTCAAGGAAGGACTTGATAAACCTATAATAATATAACGGTCATTCGATCACTTCCATATACCCACCATACGACTCCCACAATCAATACATGAATAGCCGAACGTTGTCGCCATTAACCACAAGACGCCCCAAAGTCTGTGATAGCGAATATAGGACCCCCACTAACTAGCCCTATCCCGTGTAATGTAGTAAAATCCGTGCAACCTGAAATCACCCAAGGGAAACCCGGAAACTCTACTCCTCCTCGCGCGCCCTAACGGGATCACGTTTGGAGTTTGGCATATGATCCTAAACTACCGGTAGACCTCACCAGTGATCAGTCCAATGAGTGGAACAACACCGAACACGAATGATTAGACCAAATACGTCTCAACTACCATGGGTCTAATCCCTGAATGACCGTACGACTAAGTCACCCAGTTGTCCGACTATTATCGTCCACTATCGCCAAAGTGTTACGGTACATCGGGGTTGAATATCCTAACCCCAGATGATGCCCTCGCCTAGCACTACCGCATACGGCGACTAGACGATAGATCCAAAAAATATATCCGATAAACCTTGCAATATGTGTGCAACATGCCAAATAAGTGAATTTACCGAAAATGGTTGGTGAAGACAGCTCACATATCCTCCTTTTCATAAATTCACCAACACGATCAAATACATATATCAAATATCATAAACCGTGAAGTCTCTCACATCCATACGCACATATATATATAAATATATGCATGCTCTAACAAAATTCACATAATATCACATTAGCATATTAATCAGAATCTCATGCAACATGCATACCTAATTTCTTAAAATTAGATTTAATTCCTTACTGTTTACCTGTTATCGACACCCCTTAACTTTTGCAATCTCACCTAAATCTCCTTCAACGTACACCTGCCCCATTATTTACTCAAATCAGTTGAGCTATATGCTTATTCCTAGAAGCTACATGTTTATTCAAAAGCTAATTTCTATAATTAGCTCGTTGGATTTCAAACTTTTATATTTAGTAGAATACGATATTCTAGCTATAAAACTCTTATGCCTCATAATATTTATATCGCCCGATTATTAAATAAAAATGCTTAAATATATGAATAAACAGGCCGTGCAGTACACTACCGTTTTCAATTCAGCTCGGATCGATACGAAATTCTCAAAATATAACGCTAGGACTACGAATAGGCTATCATCTAAAGAAATTTGTCGATTAAATAGTCAAATAGCCAGTTATGAATTTTTTAAGAATTTCTAATTTAATACCCCCAATTTCGAAATTTATATTAAAATCAATAATTAAATTCTACGTATAACAAGGAATACAATACCAAAATCGAAATTAAAATTGGAACACTAAATTTTTTTTCTTTTTTTTTTTTTCCTCTTTTCTTCTTCTGTTTTCTCCCTGTGGATTTCTTCTTGTTTTCTAAGATGGGCTTGGTTTGTTTGTTTATTACATATCTATTATTTATATTATTATTAAGGTAAACTGTATTTTTAGTCCCGTAACTGGACCCCTTTAGCATTTTAGTTCCGTAAGTGGAGCCTGTCGCAAACTAGTCCCATAAGTGAAAAATTTTCACTGTTTTAGTCCTCCGGCACCGGAGATGCCCGTGTGGCTCGCCGGAGGTGACGTGTCCGCCAGGTGTCCCGCCAGGTCAGCGACACCTGGCGGACACATGAATTTATTTTTTTTTTCAATTTTTTTTTAATTTTTTTAAATTAAATCAAATTAAAAAATTAAAAATATATAAATAAAATTAAAAATAAATTAAAAATAAGTTTTAAAAAAAAATTTAAAAATAAAAATAAAATAAAAAAAAAACCACGTGTCCGCCAGGTCAGCGCCACCTCCGGCGAGCCACGCGGGCGTCTCCGGCGCCGGAGGACTAAAACAGCGAAAAAATTTCACTTATGGGACTAGTTTGCGACAGGCTCCACTCACGGGACTAAAATGATAAGAGAGTCCAGTTACGAGACTAAAAAAACAGTTTACCCTTATTATTACTATTAGTAAAAGTTATTATTAATATTATTATCATTATCCATCCATATCATCATTCTTATTATTATTATTATATTATTATTATATATACATATTATATTTTATGTTTATCTTTATCGATATTTATTCGTTTAACATTCTCCATAATTATAACCAATATACAAAAGAGGAATAAAATTTGTTTCAGAATATTAATTTCTTGATCCCAAAATATTATATAAATATTTTTTTTGCTATAATAATATTATTTTATACACTCTAAAATCGGGGCATTACAATTCACTCCCTCTTAAAAAGATTTCGTCCCCGAAATCTAAACTCAAACGCATAACAACACTACTTAATTAAATAAATGTGGGTATGCTTTGAACATCTCTTGTTCTACTTCCCACGTGGCATCTTTCGCTCCATGCTGGGACTACATTACTTTTACCATATGAATATTTCGGTTCCTCATGGTTCGAACCTTTGTGTCCATGATCCAAATAGGCATTTTCTCATACGAAAGATCCTCATTTAGTTCTAACTCATCTGGAGATAAAATATGAGAAGGATCTACAATATACCTACGAAGCTGTGATACATGGAACACATTATGAATTCGTTCCATGGAATTATGAAGTGCTAACCGATAAGCCCAATCCTCAACTCAATCAAGGATTTCATAGGGTCCAACATAACCCGAATACATGAAATATTGGCAATACATAAAGCTAGTCGAGAATGTGTTTGGTTGAGGTCAATGACTCAACATATTCTGAAAAATTGTAGGTTAATACCTGACAATAAAATTCCTCCAACTACATTGTGTGAAGATAATACGGCTTGTATAGCTCAATTGAAAGGTTGTTACATTAAAGAGATAGAACGAAACATATTTCACCAAAATTCTTTTTTACTCATGATTTACAACAAAATGGTGAAATCAATGTGCAGCAAATTCGATCCGATAATAATTTGGCGGATATATATACAAGGCATAGCCGACGGCAACATTTGAAAAATTCGTGAAGAAAATTAGGATACGTCGGTTAAGGGATCTCAAATAATGCTCAGATCAGGGGAACAAATTGATACAAGAATGTTGTACTCTTTTTTCTTCACTAGGATTTTTTTGTCCCACTGAATTTTTTTCTAGTAAAGTTTTAACGAAGTACATTCTTTGTATAAAGCATCCAAATGAAAGTATTGTACACATAATTATTACATAGCTATTACATATTGTACGTGTATGTTTAATGTGGATGCGTTATAGCCTAGTGTTTGAACTTGAGTTGGCCTATATATATATATATATATAGCTTGTGTAAAGACATTTATGATTACAACATAATTTAATAAGTGAACTATATCCACCTCTCTCTCTCCTGCTCGGCTCTCCATATTTCTCTCTATCTAATATATACATATATACTACTCCCTCCGTCTCAAACATTCTTCAACATTTTCTTTTTTGTTTGTTCCAAATTCACTGCAACATTTTCAAATTTAGAAATAATTAACAATATTGTTATACATATATTAATATACACTTCACTTTATCCCATCAGATCACTCAAATAAAAAAAACAAATAATCATTTCTATTTCCAATCACATCACTTAATATCTAAATTATTTCAAATTACCATACTTAATACTCCCCACCTAAATTCTCGTGCCAAACACAAATGTTGCACGATGTTTGGATCGGAAGGAGTACATCATTACAATTATTATCATCGCACACACCCACACCTACATACATACAATTCACATATATATAATAATAATATCTTACTTATATTTATATATTATATATGCAAACACATCTATATATATATTATATTATATACAAAATATATAAACAGTGATTAGAAGTAGAAATAATTAATATTTTTATTGGCTAATCCTATATTAATATAACAACATAAATATGTTTAATGTAATTATTGTTTAAAAAATACTGATGATAAATAATATAAAAGTTAAAAAAAATATCAATGTCAAATTTTAAAACATTTTTCAGTGTTGTTAAACTTTATTATAGAAAAATAAATAGGTCACATGAACGAATATATATATATTTTTATCAAATATTGACTCAATTTTATTTAATATAAGTTTGATTTTATAGATAATACTATATACTATTTGTGAAATATATCACAAAGATATTCCAGTGTGTATTGAAGGTATTGAAGTTTACTATTTCCAATGGTACCCATTTTGTTGTGGATGAATTAAAGTTTTGTACATATTGCTATTTAATAGTTGAAATTTAACATAACAATCAAATCAAACCAACTGTACGAATCAAATAAAATAAATCACTCATCTTATTATTATTATTCTTAAAACTTCTAAGAATCAAAACTGAAATCAAAAGCTTCTTATTTGTTTTATCACACAACATTAATGGTCTAATCTCTCTTATATTTTAGAGGTCTTAATATAGCCCAAGTGTGTCGAGTTTTCGACTTTGGAAAGAGTCATCAAATCATACACGATCCAACACCTTGACTCGACTTGTTTAAAGAAGAACCCCGAGCACTTGCAATCCGATGTACATCTTCTCCGACAATCATCTTCTTTTATTGGTCCGATCCCTTTAGTATACTTACTTGTAAAATGATCGACTCCATCTATTTTATAGTATGTAACATCACTCGCTTTGCAAGATGTCGGCTTAGGAGGTGCGCATTTTTTGTTCCAACCCAAAAGTCCATTCGGAGATGGGCACACGACGCATTGGCTATCCTCGCAAAGTCCAAATTGCCCACATCTTGCCGGTAATCCGCATTCTTCACCCGAATCTCTAGGAAAAAGAGTGAAAGTCATTTCCCAAGCTTGATAATCCACTTTATCATAGAATGTGTAAGCTCTCAAGCCCCCATCAACTCCAACTCGCAAATAAGTTAATGTACTATTGTACTTGGGTCGAGACAAGATTCGATTTCCACTATTTTGAGTCACAAATGTGAGCTCATAAGCAAATGCATCATCTGTCTCGGGCTCACTATTGAATGTCAAGAAATCTATAGTTTGACTTGATCCCAAAAAAAGAAAATCTGTTGAGTCGAAATACAACATAGGCTTTGAAGAATTTTTGCCTATGTAATACATAGCAAATCTTTTGGGCTCTAACACTAAACTATAAGGCCCATTCTTGTTTTCTTGATCGGAGAGTCGACTTATGAGCTTATTCGGGCCTTTTAAACGAAGAGATTGACCAACTAATATAGTATCAGTAGGTGAATCAAAACTTTGCCAAATATATTTTCCTTTAGAATCATAAAGGACAATGTTACCATTCGACAATACTTGCAATCCTACGACACCTTTATTGGCCGTGTTAGATTGCCAAGCAATGCCACCATCATTTCTTGCCAACACTAAGTTGCCATTTGTACCAAGTGAGAATGTCGCATTCTCCCCCACCGGATTGCCTCGATTCGCTTCCCACACCCAACGAAACAATGACTCAGATCGCGTCGTGCCCATTCGCAAAGCCAAAGTATACTCGCCGGGCGTAGTATTATAGAAACACATTTGGAATGGCGATCTAGCAATAGGCAAGACTCGATAATTCGCATCGTACTCGACAATGTAGGGCCCGAATTCGCCATCATTAACATAGTTGAAGGTTTGTGAAGGAGGAACAACACCTCTAGAGAGAAAGGGAAAGACATGGAAGAAGAGAAAGAAAAAGATTAGAGTGAGAAAACAAGGGAATTGCATTTTGTTATTGCAAGAATGAGTTGATGATGAGTTTGATCCCTAAGTTGCAAGAAGTCATGTGTACATTTATAGTAAGAATTTGGATGATGATATTATAATCCTTAGGCATCTCAAAAGTGGTCAGAAATGGTGTGCTCCATTAATGTAACTATGAAATAAAATAAAATACTATAAAGCTATTGGTCAAAAGGATACACTTGCATATTTTTTAATGTTCATTCCAATGGGCGATGACAGTATTGATCTACTCTGGTTGTCATTATGTTAATTATTTTTAAAAAGTATTTGAAAATTGAAATCGACTTTTAGGTTGTATTTTTTTTTTTTTTTGGTCCGAAACCAGGCTGGCATTGTGCATCCCTTGTATACATAATTGTGAGTACGAAGCTTCTCCTACTTATTCTTGAGACAAGAGCGTAGGCAAGCAGGAAACTAGTAGGGGCTACAAGGGGCACTTTAACCCAATAGGGTGTGTTTGTTTGGGGTTTGGATTTTGACTTGGGATTTGAATTATAAAAATTTTGAATTTGAATAGTTGTATGATGTGATATAAATAAGTGTTAATGTGATATTTTGAATGTAAAATTGATTTTTAGTATAATATAAAAAATAAAAAATAGGTGTTTGATTTGATATTTTTGGGGGAAAAAATTGGATAAATAGTGAAAATCTAATCCAATCCCCTAAACAAACACACCTTATAATATAAAAAATATTTTTTATTCGCTTATCTCAAAATAATACTCCCTCCGTCCCGGTCAAGATGACTCATTTGCTTAAAGACATGGTATTTTAGGTAGTGTAGATTAGTAAGTTATTAATAATAAGTTATGATATTATTTTATTATTTTTATATGAGTAGTGTTGTTGGCATTTTAAATATTTTTAGCATTATATATCAACAAAATATATACAATATGGATATCATTTTGTAGAAAATAAAATTTTATATAATATTTATAATTAACTTCAAACTAATTTTATTAAAAATAAAAAGTTTTAAATATAGATAAAAATATTTATTTATTGAGGAGAGAAATAAAAATAAAGGGGTTTCAAGTGGGTCCTACGTGTAAGAGGTTAGAAATTTAATTAAATTGATTTATATTTGTTAAATATATTTAAAATGAATAAATTTTACTAAAAATATAAATGTGTCATCTTTAATGAGACGAACAAAAAAGAAAAATGGGGTCATCTGTCGCGAGACGGAAGGAGTAGTTTTATTTACATAAATATTTATTTCACCGTAAAATTATACTCCTTCCGTCCCACATAATTTGTCTCTATTTTCTATTTTCGTCTCTCTCACATCATTTGTTCTTTCTTTTTTTGAAAAATTGATTATACACTTTAATCGTATTTTTAAATTTAAATTTTTAAATTTTTTTAATCTTAATTAAACTATTTAGTTATTTTAATCTTAATTTATAATTATTTTTACTATATAATAATTATTTTTACTAATACACTTTTTAATTACTTACTAATTAAATTTTACCTAAATTATCATATTATCTAGGATCGAGGGAGTATTACATACATTTCTTAAGAAGGTACCGTTTGCTTTTCACGTCATTATATTTAATATTATAAATATTCTTATATTTGTATAATTTATTCTACAAATATTATTGTATTCGTATTATAATACATTAATATGTGTATTTTTATCTTTTTATCTTAAATATTGATGTAATAATTAATATTCGATGATTTGTATGAAAAAAAAAAAAAAAAAATCAATGATATTCTTCTTTGAAATAGAAGAAATATATTTTTATTAATTTGTACCTTCAAAATTTTACTTATGGTGTGTTTGTTCGGGTGTTTGGATTTTAAGTTTGATTTGAATAGTAAAAATTTTGAATTTGAATAGTTGTATGATGTGATATAAATATGTGTTGATGTGATATTTTAAATGTAAAATTGATTTTTAGTATAATATAAAAATGAAAAAAAAAGTGTTTGATTTGATATTTTTGGGGAGAAAAAATGAGATGAATAGTGGATTAAAAATTCAATCCCCCAAACAAATATATTAATAATTTTTTGTATTTATTTGTAGTCCTCGTTTATAATTTGTTTTTCTTTAAAATTATATTTTTTTTTGTACTAATATAGTTGACATATTTCATTTGGAACACTCTATTTAAAGAAATAATATTTAATTAGTTAATAATATTGAATTATGATATTATTTTATTACAATATTTTTTTATATATAATAATAATTATATTTTTAAAATAAATTTAATATATATGATTATAAAAATTAGAATATGTATTTAATATTTTAAAAATTATATTATAATAGAAAATATATGCAAATATTATTTTTTAGAGAATAAAATTTTTTATAATACAAATAAATAAAAAAATATTTATTTATAATGAATATAAATAAATTTATAAAAGCTGTGGAAATTTTTAATTATAGATAAACCTATTTATTTTTTTAGGAGAGAAATAGAAATAAATTTGATTGGGTCGTGTATGATGTTATATGTTATGTAGTTAATTAAGTTAGATTTATATTTGTTAAATACTTATTTCGTCCCGATGACCCTTTTTATTTTTTTGTCCGATTTATAAAAGATATTTTTTTTCTATTTTTAGTAAATTTATCAATTTTAAGGTCATTTAACAAATAATAAATCAATTTAATTAAATTTTAACTTTTTACCCTTAGACCCACTCAATCATTTATTTATATTTTTTTTTTATTAGCAAATATTTTTATTTATCTTTAAAACTAATTCATGGTAATGATAAATAAATAAATATATTTTTTATTTATTTGTATCATATAAAATTTTATTCTTTACTAAATGATATTCATATTGTATATATTTTATTGAAATATAATGATAAATATCTAAACACACATTTTCAAATTTTTTTTCAATCATTAAATAACTAATACAAACTGTCTAAATAACTAATCTATACTGCTGAATTTTTGTGCCCAAATAAAATGGTTTATCTCTAGTAGGACTAAAGGAATTATGTTTTGATTTAATAACTCTTACCAAAAATTAAAAAAATGGAGTATATTTTGATTTAATAAATCTTACTTAAAAAAATGATTGAGACAAAAAAATATTAAATTTTATGCAATTTTCTAATTATTTAAAAAAATTTAATTGTTGTCTTTTTTTTTTTTTTTCTTTATCTTGTTGTGCCCAAAAAAAAAAGTTAAATCAGTAAAAATGAATCGATATTTTGTCCTGCAATTTCATGGCCGGTTAGGGATGTCAAAGCGAGCGGGTTAGCCCGGACCCGCCCTTGACCCAATTTTAATGGGGCAGATTCGGGTCTAAAAAAATTTGGTTCCAGATGGATTTTAGATTTTGAGTTTTAGACTCGATCGGGTTCGAAACGGGTTACGAATTTTATTAAAAACCCGCTCCTCCTTATACTCGAATCTAAACCCGAATATTTTAATAATTTTTATAATTTATTTATATTTTTATATAATATAAAATATATTATTTATTTATTTTTTAAAAAAAAAACAAAAATGAATTTATGGAATTAGCCCCGAACCCGAAAGATTTGAAGTGAAACGGATCATAAAGCCGGATTAAAACGGAGCTGCCGGATTTTAGATCTTAATATTTTTTAGCTAGACGGATTTCGGGGTCTGCAAAATCCGTCCCGAAAACGGCCGTTCGCATCCCTATGGCCGATTCCGCGTGTAGGCTGACAAAGCTGAATGGGTTGGTGCCTCCTCGTATTCATAGTCCCAACGAGAGTCAACAAAAGAAAGCTAAGGTAAATTTTGGCCGCCCATTCACTTCCACTGAATTTGACGCTGCCTCCTTCGATCCAAACCCAATAACCCGACCCGGGCCACTATTGAGATGAAATGCCAACTGTATGGATTTAGCAGCTGTAGCCATATGTTTATACCATATTTTATTTCTTTCTATATCTATTTATCTATTTATTTTTTATTCGAAATTTTAAAAATATTAATATTATATTATGATATAGTAAAAATAAATGTAAAACGATTAAACTAATTTCATTAGTATTGTATGATATAAAAGTAATGATATTTGTATAATATATTATAAATTAAAAGAGTATTTGTAATGTTAATGTTAGATAGATAGCACATTACTTAAAAAAAAAAAAAAAAATAAATAAATATATACTTTGTTATGAGACAGACCAAAATAAAAAAAAATGAATTAATTGTATGGTCAATATTCATATTTTGTTTGTTACGGTAATTGGTTCATAACTATTTCAATTAAAATGAAATTTCATTCTAAATATATCTATGCGTGTCTGATTTCATAATAAACAGTGGCTAACATTGGCATAATACTAATTTTCTGAATGTTTGAACTTTTACTTATCTAATTTTTGATTGGTTGATACATATTTATATTTAAAATTTAATTTTTATTTTAATTATTATTTTAGATTTGAAATTTATTTTTAATATATTAATTCTGTATAACTAAAATTTGTTAGAAAAACAGAGAGATTATAGTTTTTATAATGAGATTGATTCTCTATTCTTCTATTCTTATGTTAAGAGTAAGCCCAAATTATAAAAATTTTATATAATCAAATATTAGAGTGTGTTTGTCTGTATATTTTAGTTTTTGGATTTTAATTTTTAAATAGTATAATATTGAATTTGAATAATTGTTTGATGTGATACATATAGAGGTTGATGTGATGTGATATTTTGAATGTAAAATAATTCTGTAGTATAACATAAAAAAAAAAAAAAAAAAAATTGTTTGATGTAATATTTTTGGATAGAAATAAATCTGGATAGTAAAAACATATTGTAGAATCGACAAAAGAACACAACCTTAGAGTTTGTCCACAATTAGAGATATTAAGCTAAATAATCAACCCAAAACTGTTAACAACAAAAATAAGAATGAGATTTCTGCCCAACATTGTTTATGTTCGAAGAAATGACGATTTTTGTTTCGTTAACCATCGGATGAAGCTGAAATTTTCAGAGAATATTTTTAATTTATTGCGTTTTCAATCTAACGGTGGAATTTTTGATCAGGTATCTGTAATTTTGACTAAAAATTTACAGAATGTAATTGACTTTTTAGGTTTTTTTTTTTTTTATCTCGATTTTTTAAAAGAATTTGTAACTTCTGTTGGTTGATTGAGTGGAGATAGGAGCGTGTTTATATATATTCTTGAAAAACTTTTATACCCAATTTGATCATAGTGAATTTCTCATTTAGTCTAGATAACTCGTAGTTTTTTTCCTTTATTATGAAGAGCTTTTCATGTGAAAAATTTTCGTATATCTTTCATATTTATTTGCGCATAACATTTATTATTATTACTTATATTATTTTCTAAAAGAGGATTGTATTTTTTCATCAATATATAGTAACATTCTTTGATTATTTTTTAAAATTATAAGTTTAATTATGTGAAAATTAACTATCATATTTATTTTATATTGATTATCTTATAATTATTGTTATATATTCTTTTTTTTTCCTACCCATTGATTGTCTTATTCTTCTTTTTATATATATTTTATTATTTATAGATTACGATCAAATTTCAAATATTTTGATTTGAAAGAATTATAAATAATAATAATAAAAAAAGGATATACATCAAAAATAATGATAAATTTTAATATAAAAAGTATTGTAATTTAAAATTTATATTTTTTATTATGTATGAATAAATTAAAAAAACAATTCAGAAATGAAAAGAAATCAAAGGAAAAACGAAAAAGAATAAGATTGAAAAGTAAAAGAAGAAAAAAAAAAAGAATAGATATCTATTAAGTATGTTTTTTATTATTCAATTAATTATAGTTTAATATTATGTATTAATTTTATTATATATAATAGTAATATTAAATTATTTATTTATTAATAAATTATTTTTATGCTTATTATGAATGTATTTTTATTAATTTATTTGGTTTCGAATACTACCTTCCGCAATAGAAAATTTTCACCTTGATGAAAATTTGGTTGAATCGGTCCTAAGAACCACGAATTTTTTCCCGTTACGTATGTGTTCGAATCGGAGGTGAAACTATATTTCTCACAAATTTATTCGAAACGCATAGAAGCTTTTCTACACAGAGAATATACAAATCTTTCTACACAGAAATTAAAAGTTTTGTTACATTATATATGGACCGTCGTGGAATCAAGTCCGTTAATTCCACATTGAATGTGGGATCGTGCGTCATCGTTATTGTTGTCATAAAAATCGCTACCGACGGCTTAATCAGAAAAGCCTGTCGGATTTGATTTGCTAGAAGGGTTTCCGGCCTCCCCAAAGATGGATCCGGGTTATCTCACGATAACTAAAAAATTGATATAAAGAAAGAAGATAAAAATAAAGCTAATAAAACATGAAAAAACTGAAAAAGAAGCTAGAAATTAAAGATAAAAAATCTGGAAAAATATTGTTTTCTTAAAAAAAAAAAAAAAAACCGTGCAGCGAAAATTAATGGTGTTTGTTCTTCTGCCTCTTGGATCTTGAACTTATTGTTATATATATTTTTTTAATTTGTTTGGATAAAATCTTATCCCACTTTTTCTTCCGACAAATTTCTAACTGCTTCTTTGATCGTTTGCTTCCGTTGGACTGCTTACAAGTCAAGCTGGACCTCCTTGATGATAGGCTAGACGGGTCAGCAAGTCCGTGTGCTACTTTGGATCGTATATTTAGTCGTGAATGTCCTTGGGTTGCGCCTGCGGAGTGACCCCAAATTAATTATTTGGGTGTGTACAATTATATTTCATAATGGTGAATCACACAATAAACTAAATATAGAGCGTGACCAAATGGTTCAAACTGCCGATTACAATTTGAAATCGCCAGTTTCGGTTTATCAAAAGATCAATCGAAATCGAACCTTCGAATTATGATTTCAATTCCGGTTTGATGATTTCAGTTATGATTTCGAAACCAAACCTTCTTAATTATAATTTTGATTCCAGTTTGATAATTTTGATTACTTTTTTCCAAACCGATGATTTCGGTTTAAAAATCGTATGTTTCAGTTTGAACCGTCCCTTTATATTTATTCATTTTTAATATTTTTTTTATATTTTCTATATTGTTTAAATTTTAATTTTAAAATTAAATTTTATTTACATATATATTATTTATTTATTTATTATGTAAAAATTATATAAATAATAATAATTGATTAGATTATATGATATAAAAAACAATCAAAACAATAAATCTAATAAGTAGTTAAATTAAATTTAAATTAAAAATTAAATTTAAATAGTAATATATTAAATAATAATATAATATAATATAAATTAAATACAATTATATAATAAAGATTCAAAAATTTAAAATAGAATCATTAATAAATATTTATTTGTATTAATATTATTTTATTTTATAAAAAATTAATAATATACTATCTCCAGTGAAATGATCCATTTGGATAGAAATACAATATTTTTTATGTAGACTAAATTAAGAAATTATTAATAAAAAATTATGATATTATTTTATTATTTTTTTAATACAAATAGTATTGTTAGTTTTTTAAATATTTTTAGCTTTGTATTTCAATAAAATATATGCAATAAATATCCTTGTGTAGATTATAGAATTTTATATAATACATATTAAAAATTTTATTTGTTTATTTATAATAACTTAATCTTATAAAAAATAAGAATTTTTTAATATAGATAAAAAAAAAAATTTACTTATTAAGAAAAGATTCAAGTTGATCAATAGAGTATAAGAAAAATTAATAATTTAATTAAATTGATTTATATTTCTTACACATCCTCTATCTTTTAAATTTTTTCTCAATTTCTTTTCCATTTTTTTCTTCTTCACCCACAGTTCCGACTCCATTTGTCACTCCATCGCTATTACCTTATTATACTAATTAATAAAATATTATTATTTATTAATTTTTCACCAAAACACAAAGCCTTTTCAAGGACAGAGAGAATATTTATTTTTATATTAAATTTTGATAATTAGATTTTAAATAAAATTAAAAAATGGGATTAATTCTAGCAATGCTGAATTATGCATTTAAGGACAGTATCTATGCCGAAAATAAAAGTATAAAACCGTGGTTTGCCGTTTGGAGAAAAGAGAAACACAAGTCGAACAGTACTAAAACCGGTTTCGGTTCGATGACTACCGGTTTGAAACCGTCGAACCGGAGGTTCCAATCGCCGGTTCGAAACCGATTGAGCAAGTATAATTTCAATGAAGAATTCCTTCTATTTTTTCAATCAATACTCATCCGAAACTATTCCCGATAATTCCAGTCCCAATATACTCTAATCTAACCTTCCGTCAGTCGCTTGGTCGCCGTCGCCGTCTTTCTCGGCCGGCTTCGTCTCTTACATCGCCAGGAAATTGTAAGGTCACTCATTCCCTTCTAATAGGATATATAGAGAAGCGACTGTGAGAATTTGACAAGGATTTGGAAGGCGGCGGATATACACCAACGGAAAAGGTGCAATTGCGGCGAAGAACGGGGGGCTTTTATCAACACAATCAGGTTTATGTGCTTATACATTGTCTCCGACGCTATATACGATGTCATAGCATGAATGAGCATTTGTTTTTGTTTTGGTTGTGATTTGCAGTCTCCCAGTTGGGTGAATACTTCAAAATCGTTCCAACGGACCTTTTTCTTTCTTTTTTTTTTTTTTCGAACTGTAATGGTAATTTGAGGTTGATTGAAATTTTGGAGAAGGTCGAGTGGAGACTCTTACTGATTCTGTGGACTTAGATTGAACTAAAGTTGGGAAATTGGGAGTAAAAATTGCAGTAGACATGGTTGGAGAAAAAGTAGAATCATGAAGTGGATAGGATTGAAATGGATAAGAAATCAATTACTAAGATGCAGTGTATCAAAATTGCTAGATTAGAGAGGCAATTCATTAATTTGTTAGTGTGAAATGTATTCAACTTTCAACTTTCTCGATGTTGAATCCCTGATCAGTAAAATCTTTTAGTGAGCCTCTATATTGAAAAAGGGCTTTACTTATGTTAAAAGGTAATTGGGAAGCCTTACGGTTTAACTGTAATTTGTTATTGTGGATATTTGGTTTCAATAACAAGTTGTATTTGATCAAAAACATTGACCTCGACCTGTGATTGTGGGATTTGCATCTTGCTGTCTTTGAGGGCTCACTGAGTATGCGGCCCTCTTCGTCGTACTCAATGGCTCTTAATACCATAATCTGTGTGTACATACTCTTTCAAGAAAACAGCATGACGTCGCATTCCTGCGTAATAATCAGATTTGATTTCCTGAAGTGCTCTGTTCATGGGCATAAAACAGATTGTTCTTGGAATGTTTCTTACATATTTTAGAGTTAAGGCATATCTTGATTGAAAGGAAACATGAAATACACTTAGTAGATGCTGGCTATTCTGAATTGGCATAATTGGTTATGACCCTTTTTTTTTTTTTTTTTATTATAAGACGTGGGAACCCGTAGCCGCTACCCGAAAGTGCGCACTGGGTAAGGGTTATGACTTATTTGATCATACTGAAGTTGAAGGTCATATAAGTTCCCTTATGTACATCTTTAAGTTTTTTTTTTCTTGGATCTGTGGATCATTGGATGTAAATATTTTTAAAAGCTTACTCACTTTCGTTGCATCTTACTTTGTTGTTTGTAAAACAATTATGTGCTATTTTGCAGTGCTGGGACAAAAGAATCTTCCGTAAGTTGTCTGAAAACACTTTTCCAATCTCTCGCTACAATGCTGCCCCAAAACCTCATCTTAAACCCACATTTCTCCTCCAAATTTCCCAATCCTCTTCTTGAAACCTTACCTCGATCACACCTTCCGCCATCCCGAAGATCTTCCAAGATAAAGATAATTCAGGCACGGGTCTCTAATTCTGATTTCTTCCTCCAGAATGCCAATCAGCGGCCTGATTTGCGAGCATTTGCCGGGCGGAGCAAAGATAAATCAGGAGGCACATCCGGTGGGCGCATTGAGGGCTACACGGAGCTCCGCCGTGAGGCTAAGCGGAATGCTCGCCGAAGGAGTAGAAAAATGGCAGAGAGCTTGTTTTATCGGCTGAAAAATCCTCACAAGAATTTCCCGGATAATTTTACAGAGGAGGAGCTGCAAATGATTGGTTTGGGGTATGATCGGATGGTGAGATTTATGGAAAAGGACGACCCTAATTTAAAGCATCCCTACGACTGGTACAAGTATGGAGAATTTGGACCCTACTCGTGGCGTGGCGTTGTTTTGGGAGACCCAGTCCGTGGTAGATTTAGCGATGAACGTGTCGCAATGATGGGTGAGGTTAGAGATCAGGAGGAGTGGGAGAAGATTGAGCAGTATGACATGGGCGTCGATTTTCAGAAAAAATTGGACTCCATGGATTCAAGCAAGAGAAAAAGGTATTCTTAAAGATTTCGAAGTAGACTTAGTTATTCAGTCAAAAGATAATCGAAATTCATACTCGACTTCAACAGGTATTACTGGGTATTTGTCCGGCATCCGAAATGGAGAGTTGCGGATTTGCCATGGCAACAATGGACGCTAGCATGCGAAGTGGCGGTGGAGGCTGGGGATCACCGGTTGGATAAGTGGACACTGATGGGACGGTTCGGGAACAATGCACGTGCGCTGATTACAAAATGCGCGGCGTGGGTGAGGCCCGACATTATATATGTTAAAAGGCCAGTGTATCAATGCCGCTTCGAGCCACAGGACGAGTTCTTTGCAGCGCTGGCACCGTTGCTCGATCCGGAGTCGGAGGAGGAGTACATGTGCGAGAGGAAACTGGAGGACGGGAGCATGGAGCTGTGCACGTATTTCGCAGGTTTGTGTAGGATCTTACGAGTGAATCCGAAGGCATTTGTGGACGACGTGGTGAAGGCATACGAGAAGTCGAGCGACGAGAGAAAATCCGAGTGCCTTGAGTTCTTGTTGGGCAACCACCCGGTGATGTTGTTGCATCCGTATACGAAGGAGTGGAAGGCGAAGTTGGAAGAAATGGAGTTGGGTTGCGATGCACCCGACGACGACGACGACGATAGCAATGTTGCTAACGGGAATGAGATAATCGATTGGGTCGAGGATGATGGCGGGAATTACGGCACTAACGACGACTACGAGGATGACGAGGACGATGCACCGGATGATACGATCGACGATGATGAGGAGGACGAAGGGAGTTTGGACCCGAAGGAAGATATAAAGTATTGGGACGAGGCGTTCAAGAAGGCGGTGAGAAGCAACGAGGCGATGGAGAAGATGGTGGAGATAAGCGTGAATACGACGAGCAAGTTTTATGCGGAACAGAGGCGGAGGAAGGAGGAGATGGAAGGAGACGGAGATGGAGATGGAGATGGAGACGAGCTAGAGATGCGGGGGAAGAGGGCGAAGATTAGTAGGGAAGAGTGGAAGGTGCTCGGGTACGGGCCGTATAGGAAGAGGGTGAAGAAGAGCAAGATTCCGCCGGAATTGTTTCTCCGGGCCGCCGTCCGGCCATTCACCTACCGGAATCTTGTGAAGGAGATTGTGCTTACAAGGCATGCCATTCTTGAGGGTGAGATTGGACCCATGAAGAAGAACAACAAGTGAAGTTACTGGACGACCTTTGTCGTAAGAAAGAAATTCAAACTACCATATCTAGGAGGGAGGGATTTTTAAGTTGTATTGTTTGTTGATGTAGCATCGTTTAATATATTTAAATGTTTTGCATGTTTACCTTTTCAAATATCAATTATATTTAAATAAAAGTCATTTAACCAAGAGTGAAAGTAAAGGACGAAAACGGTTCTACTAGTCATGGCGGGCTATGGTTCAAACTTCTGACGCCTCCAGCTCCACCTGTAATATATGATTTGCTTAAGTGTGATTTGTCTTATCGAATTTAGTTCGCAGAATATTAAGTTTGGCCGGGAATTTTTCGGGTAGCGACTGCAGATTATTATTATTATTATTATTATTTGTTACATTTAATTATTATTATTATTATTATTATTATTATTATTATTATTTGTTACAACTTTAAATGATATGGATGGATAGGTTATTGTTTCAAATGAGAAAATCATCACCAACACAAAGTACTTCTAGGTATGTTTTTGCTGTCAGTTAAGGGCGTTTGTTTGGGATTAGATTTTAAATACATTATTTTTTTTTTTTTAAAAAAAATATCAAATCAAACACTTAATTTTTATTTTTTATATTATACTAAAAATTAATTTAAGACTTGAAGGCAAATCTTTTCACCTAATCTCTCTGGGGTATCTTGCCATGGGGCCCACTATTTATGACCAACTATTTAAACATTTGTCTTCTGGTCTTCAAATATGAGTGCAGTTTTTATTATTCATATCACATTATATAACTATTCAAATTCAAAATTTTTACTATTCAAATTCCAATTCAAAATTCAAACCTCCAAACAAACACACCCTTAATGTAATTTTTTTTTAGTTTTTATATTAATTTATGTGTTTTGTGTTTTTATATTAATGTATGTGTATATTATGTATTGTGTAAAATTGTATTATATGTTAATATTGTATTTATTCTTATATGATGTATTGCATGTGTTTATATATTATTCCATTTGTTCCAGATAAATTGTCCATGTTATTGTAAATATGAGACTTTAGGTAAAACATAATTAGTAAATAATTAAAAAATATATTAGTAAAAATAATTGTTTTATAATAAAAATAATTATAAATTAATATTAAGATTAAGATAATTAAATAATATAATTAAGATTAAAAAAATTATAAATTATAAAATTTAAAATGTGATTAAAATGTATAGTTATATTTTTTTAAAAAACATAACAAATTAGACGAGACAGACAAAAATAGAAAATATGGACAATTTATAAGAAACGGAGAGAATATATTATTTGTTATTTGTTATATTATATTATATGTAGTAATAGCTCTTGTATATTTTTTTTACATTATAAATACATATGTATGATGTAGATAGTTGGTGGATGCTATGTGACCATTTCATTTACCACAACTACTATTTACTTTTGCCTATAGATATGCTTTCATCCATATGTTTGATGGGGGGATTAGATTTAATTTCCACTATTTATTTTATTTTTTTTCTCAAAAATATCAAATCAGACACCTATTTTTTATTTTTTATATTATACTAAAAATTAATTTTACATTTAAAACATCAGATCAACACCTATTTATATCACATCATACAACTATTTAAATTCAAAATTTTTACTATTTAAATCCCAACTAAAAATTCAAACCCAAACAAACACACCCTAAGAATGTATTCACTTCACTCATTATTACACACATATATATATATACATATATCTACATACATAAAATATACTCTCTGTCCAATTTCTATTGTCCTAAGTATATTTGCACGGTTTTTTAGGTGATTATCTTTTTGTCATGAATCGACAAATTTGCCCTTAATTGTATAGTAGAAATTAAAAGTAATAAATGAATGAAGTGTAAAAATGTAAAATTTGTGTTTAAAAAAGAAAATAAGACAATAATTGTTGGACTTCCTAAATAGAAAAGTATGACATTAGTTTGTGGACGGAAGGAGTATAATATATATATATTCATACATCCATCCATACGAATATATATATAAACTACGTACTTATATATATTATGTATATATAAATACTGATTAACAATATGAATAGTTAATATTTCTATTTGTTACTCTCATCATATTAATATTTACAACATTAAGAGTAAAATTTATATTTTATATTTTTAAAATTAAAATTAAAAATTCAAAGTGAAATTATTTTACAGTGCTATTGGGGTTTGAATTTTAAGTTTAACCTTAAAAATTTAATTGAAATAATTGTATAATATTTTATAAATAAATATTAATGTGATATTTTGAATATAAAATAAAAATATATTAAATTTAATATTTTTAAAAAAAATTAATAAATAATAAAAAATTATGAAAAGTTTGTCAAATGAAAAATGAAAAAATAATAATAACAATAATAATAATAATAATAAAATCTTATGACAGGTAGGTAAATGCAACTGATGTACCAATGTAAAACACAATAAAAGTACGAAAGTAATAATAACACCAAAAAAAAAATCACAAATGGCTCGTCCTGGTAAGCGTGTTGGGACATTCCTGATTGGTGATTTCCCCATCATTTTTAGGTCATCTTCCACTCCACTTGGGCAAACCTCAGCCTCGCCATGGCATGGCCTACTACTTCAATAGATCCCGAGCTTGAGCGCCGCCTTAGAGACGAGATCATTTACCTCCATTCCCTTTGGTACCAAGCCCCACCTCACCTCGCCGCCGCCGTACGGCACCGCCTCCAGCCCCTTCAAACCACCCAATTCAAGAGAAAGGGCACCGCAGCCGAATCGAACTCATCTCCCGGCCCCGAATGGCCAATTCAGGAGCCCAAACCCGACCCGAGCCCACAATTGGTTACCCCCGAGGAGCAATCGAAGCTCGCTTCAAAAAACGCTCACCGGACGGCTCTAAAAGCCGTCGCCCAATTCCTCACCGCAGCCGCCGATGATGATTCCGATGCAATTGCCGTCGCCGGTGACGACGATGATGACGATGACGATGATGACGACGAGTCCGCGGTGGACTACTCCACATTTTTCCACAAACTGTTCGACGAGGACGCCCAATTGCGGGAATTCTACGCAAATCACTACGCCGACGGCGTGTTCCCTTGTTTGGTGTGCGGCGGTTTGGGCGGCCGGAAAAAATGTAAGAATTTCAAAGGCTGTCTGCCCCTGGTGCAGCATTCAATCACCTTATCCAACACAAAGAATCGGAAAGCTCACAGGGCGTTAGGGCAGGCCATTTTACAGGTTCTGAATTGGAAAATGGATCAGCTCCCTGCTATTGCATCCTTGCTGAATAAGAACTCCGCCCTGGAAGAGGTGACGTAGAATCAATCATGGTGATTCTCAGACAGACAACAGTGGATTCTGCTGCAACAGTAAAGGAAATGCTTGTGTTATCTTTGCAGGGGAATGTTGCTGCTGATGGAGTTGCTAATGTTGAGGATGATCATGGAGGTCTTGATGCCGGCAATGTGCCCAAAAACGACCACCAAGGAAATGTGGTAGGTTTAGTTTTTCGAAAATTTTATCGACTGAATTTTGTAAATGTATCGAAATTGATTGTAAATCATGCTTGTTTGTAAGCGTTTAGATCAAATCTAGGTAAAAACAAAATGTTAGAAATTTTCAAATGATTTTGTGCTAATGTTACCAATGATTTGATCCAATCGCCACAAATATAAAAATATGAGCTTTAAATTAATAATATATATTGTTTCTATATTGTATTATTAAGCTCAAGCGTATCATATACATGTACACGATAATGTTGCATCCTTTTGAAATCTCGCAAGTTCAAACATGTCCTAACATTTATTTGTCGAAATGAATTTTTATTTGTTGTTTTCCGTGGGAGGCCGAATGGATAAAACGCCTTACTTTGTGTTCGTGCAGAATTCGTCAGCTTCGCCCAATGTGGAGAATCCGAGAATAACAGCGTCGGAAGGATTCACAAGTGTGAGTTTCTTTACCTTTTGTCTTTGTGTTATATTTTTCAGTTTTTTTGTGGTATATGTTTCTTTTTGTGATATTGGCCTAAATTCCGATTTAACCATTCTTAGCACAAACCGTAATGTTATCACGTTCTGTTTTCCGGGATAATTAGTTGTCTGTTTAGCTAAACGTTTCAAGATAGCCGCGAGATTATACATCATCGTGCTAATTTATGAAAAGACTCGGTGCCTAAATGCGCGTATGTTTATGTACGTACATCTGTGTGTTTGGATTTGATTGAGGTTGAACTGAATCGATATCAATTCATTTGAATTCCTTTTTACGCGTACGGGTTGCTGCTACTTATGCTGTTAATGTTGCTTGGTGTAGGTGACACCGGTCGAAATCCCGGGTGTTGGGAATGAATGCAGGGATTGGTGATCGACGACGACGACGACGATAACAATAACAACAATGGGTTCAGAAATTGGGGTATGTATTTATGAATGAATGTTTAAGTCTCTGTTTCAATAACAAATATAAATATATTTTTTTTTTTTTATGTTAAGTACAATGATACGCTAAAAGACAAATGTGTCTTTGTTATGAAACAGAAGTATATTATAATTTATTTCAATACAATATTGTATATTAATATAATGAAAATACTATTAATAATCCTCAAAGTAAACAGTTATTATCATTTCCAGTGTTAATATAACATAATATATAATACTCCGTCCATTAAAGTATTATTTTTATGATTTTTTTCCGTCCTATTTTATAGCATTTATTTTCTATTTTAAAAAAATAATCATATACTAATTTTAAAATATCTTTAATTTCTATATAATTACTATTATGCATAAAGTGAAAGAGCAAAAATATTAAAACATCTTACACACTTTGACTGACTAATAAAATAATATTATTTTTTAATTTACTACAAAATCTCAAAAGACCCAAGAGTATTAACTAACATCACATGTTTTAATGTTTTATAATTATCATCACGTTGATTAGCCTTAATTATAACAATTAGCATGGAAAATGTAATTACAGTAACTATCAACCGTAATGGTAGGATCCTGATTTTTTGTCTCATGCGATGAGCCATAATAGTTATACATGACAACCGACGCCAAATAACGCCAAATAATCTAACCCAATGCCATTAATGGCTCTGGGTTGGAGATGCTCAATTTTGGTGTTGGATTGCAGCAATCCAAAAAAATGGCGTTGCTCTGTATATATTTTTTAATTTTTTAAATTTTTTTTTTCTAAATTTTTTAAAAATTTATTTTAAATTTAAAATAATAGAAAAAATTGAATATTTGAAGAATAATAGTGAAAATAGAGTTATGGTTGAAATAAAATTAAAACTTGATAAATAGAGTTGACGAGTTGGAGATGGCCTTAGAAGTCAGCTAATTAAATAAGTGTTAGACATAGAAAAAAAATATGAAAAAATACTTTGTTCGATAAAATAAAAAGAATAGAAAATAATTATAGGTGACCAAAAAAATGGATCTCTAGAGAGTGTTTTTTTTTTTTTTTAATGATTCTATGTTTCTTTTTATACTATGATACAAATGTTTATAGATAAATAAAGTAATTATTAGCGACCAATTTGGAGATACTTGACCCGCGCATTGCTCGATGATTTGTGCAATCCTAAGAGTGTCCGATTAGTGTAATCAAGAGACTGCAATTTGCCTAGTGTGACTTGTCTGTCGGATCTACTTTGTAAGGTATTAAGTTCGGCCGGAGCTTATTCGGTGCGTACTTTCGGGTAGCGACTGCAGATTTCCACATCATTAAAAAAATAAAAAAAAACTGCAATTTGCGATTCTTTTTGTACATTTTTTATGTCATCAGAATTTAAAAATTTATAGAATTTGAGATACATCTCATATGATAAATTTTTTTATTTTAACTAAATATATACATCGATGTTTTTCGTATTTATAGGGTCCGCACTTAATCAGATAGGTTGGCTAGAACCTGCATGAAACTTTATCATGTTTGAAGCATGATCATCTATTTACACAATTGTATCAATTATGTGGTTTATTTGTTCATCACGGTTGAAGAATAATTTTTTTTGAAAATGGTGATTACGAGATTTTCGGACATGACAAAAATATTTCTTTTGTTCTATTCTTGTTGTTCAAATCAATTGTATCTGATAAATTGATTTCCAATGAACCTCGGGTGTGTTCGTTCGAAGGATTTTGGAAAAATCCTATTATTCATTCAAATTTTTTCTAAAAAAAAAATCAAATCAAACACCTATTTTTTATTTTTTATATTATACTAAAAATTAATTTTACATTCAAAATATCACATCTAACACCTATTTATTTCAAATCATACAACTATTACAATTCAAAATTTTTATTATTCAACTCACGATTCAATATCCAAAGCCCCAAACAAAGACACCCTTGGTATATTATTCATGCATGCTTGGCCATTGAATGATGCTCTAGTAGGGTTAGTAATGGCAACATATGATGGTGAGCCCATTTCATTATGCCAACGTTCAAATTAGAGCCGGCAAAAACTGACCCGACACGATAATCCGACACGACTCGACACGAAATAATTGCGTTTGGATCAAAGATTTCAACCCGATTATATATACGGATTGACACGAACCCGATACGATAATAAACGGGTCGGGTTAGGGTTGAGACTCTCAACTCGAACCCGACACGACAACCCAATTATAATATATTAATATTGATTAATATATTTATTATATATGTAAAATAATCATAATTTATTAATTTTATTATAAATTAATTTAAACTGAGTTCAATTTTAAATAAGTAAACCTAATTGACGCCTCAAACTAATAAAAACTAATATAACATGATAACACAACAAAAAATTATTTAATTTGAATCAAGAAATTCGACTTAATTTTGTATACGGGTCAACACGAGTCAACCCGAACCCGACACGATAATAAACGGGTTGGGTTAGGGTTGAGTAATTTAACCCGTTTAAAGTATTCAACCCGATTAGATCAATAAACACCAAAATCTCTCAAAACTCAAACCAAATCTACTAACATTTAGTTTAAGATATTATGGTTTAAATTTGGTATTAAAATAATGTATCATGATATATTTTACGAGAGGAAAAATATTCACTTCGTCCCAACTCAAAGTATTTTTTTTACAATTTTTTGTATGTCTGACTCCAAATTATTCATTTTCTATTTTAGTAAAAGTAATCATACACCAATGACAAAATATCTTTTAACTTTTACCTAAATTACAAATATACAATTACATATACAATTATTTTTTACATAAAGTCAAAAGGATAAGGTCAAAACCTCTTTCACGCTTCCACTAACTAATAAAATATAATTATTACCCGTAAGGATGACTTAGTGATGTAGAAGTCGGATGTGTGACCGTAAGATCATGAGTTCAAATCCTCGACGCCTCTGGTCACTTGCCACACATACTTCGTCTAGTGTGACTTGTCTGTTGGGCCTAGTTTGCAGGCTAGTAAATATTAGAGGCGCATCGAGAGAGTAATTATAAATTATAAAATTTAAAATATAATTAAAATATATCATTATATTTAAAGAAAAAACAAATTATATGGACTGAAAACAAAAATATATATATATATATAAACAATTTATACTAAACAAAATAAATATATTTTATTAATAAATTGATAATAAAATAAAGTATACTGAATTGCAAAACATTTATCAATATATTCCTGAAAGAAAATAATATATGCTTGTGTTGTGTGAATAGTATATCTGCTTTTTCGTTGGATAAGTATTCTCTTCGAGGGATAACGCAAAATGTCGCAGCCAAACACGCCCTAAAGATTTCCTGCTATATATATATATATATATATATATAAACATCACACGACGATCAGCTAGCTCGACTCTTCCCCAAAGGCCAAAGTCACGCGAACGCAGTCTCTCCAACGCATACCTAATCTAGAAGGAAAATGGCAGGAATCTCTCAGGATTGGGAGCCGGTGGTGATCCGGAAGAAGGCGCCGACCGCCGCCGCGCGGAAGGATGAGAAAGCAGTCAACGCAGCTCGCCGCACCGGCGCCGAGATCGAAACGATAAAGAAGTGTGCGTACTGATTTTTCGGTGCTTATTGTTTATCTATGCTTAGAGTGAGATTATTTGAGCCGTTTGTTATTCGGTATTTGTTTGCGCTTTTTCTTATTGTTCTGGATTTTAATTTAGGGTAATTTGTGCGTGGTATTGTGGGAACTGAGTTGTGGAAAATACAACTGGTTTTGATCGGGAAAGTATAACTTATAACTAGATTTGTTCTTTGTATTGCCTGTTTATTGACTGATAAATATTAGGTATCAACAATTTCAGCGTAGATGAGAGAAAATCTTGTGAATGCGGACTTATGCTTCCTGTGAGATTTTGCGTTGCATTTTTTCCTTTTTAGTAACTCATAGGTTTGTTTAGTATATTGGTTTAATCATGATATGAGTTAGTAAAATTCGTAGAAGGCTAGTTCCTCAGAACTTGTGTATATCTTCCAAGTTTTTGCTTAAAAAAGCACTCTTAGTTAATATATTGCGATACATTCCTTCTTTCTGATTCAAACAGAGAATTTTGCTACTGTACTTGATGTTACCAAAGTTGTTGCTCAAGCCCTTTCTGTTTTCCTTAGAGGGTTTTTTAAGTTGAGGTCTGATGTATTCTTAGATCATTGAATGTGAAGTATGTAATTTCTATTATTATTTTTTAAATCATTGTATATTTGCACCACTGTAATGGAGTGAACTGAGTTGTTTATAACATAATTTTGTGGTATTCTGCAGCAAATGCGGGGACAAATAAAGCTGCCTCAAGCGGCACATCTTTGAACACCCGGAAGCTTGATGAAGATACAGAAAATCTTGCTCGTGAGTTGGATATCTATATGTTTTATGCGTTGCATTTTGGTTGAATAGTGAAAATTTATATACTTTTCCATCCTGCTTAAACAGTATCTGATTGATTTTTTTTCCCCTTTGTAATAGGCATGATGTTCTCTATTTCTGTATGATAAAAGGAAAATTGCACATGACTAGTTTATCTAAATACCAATTTAGAGAACTACCTTGCCAAAGATTGAGAATAGATTATATAGTTCTTGACTGGATCATTAGAGATAATTGGAAGGATCAAACTTGCTAGCACTAATTTTAATTCAAAGTTTATATAGAACTTCCTTCCTATGAATGCTCAAAGAAAATCTTGTCAAATGGAACAACCGATACTTTTTTTTTCTATAATAGTAATTTACTTCGTTGCACAAGGGTTCTTTCAGGAATTTTATTGGATTTCTTTTTTGGGCATTTATAGAAACTCAGGGTAGTTTTTTTTTGGTGTCTCTCTACCATTTCATAATGGAAAAATATAAGCTTTGTCTTTCCAGATGTTTGCTTCTGTTTTAACATTTTCATTTTCTTGCAGATGACAAGGTTCCTTCGGAGTTGAAGAAAGCTATCATGCAGGCTCGAATGGATAAGAAATTGACACAAGCCCAACTTGCTCAGGTTTGTCTGTGTGTCACATTAGCCTAACAAAGACACATATTAAACTCGTGATTTTAACATTTATGATTAATGTGGACTATACCTTTGACGTGCAGTTGATAAATGAGAAACCCCAGATCATACAAGAATATGAATCTGGAAAAGCAATTCCCAATCAGCAAATCATCTCCAAACTAGAGCGTGCACTTGGTGCAAAACTCCGTGGAAAAAAATAGAACCTAGGGATCATGAACCTTGTGGAGTTCTACGTACCCTTTCTAGTCCTTGTAATGGTGGTGTGCATGAACTTTATTAACTTCCTTTTTCTCTGTCACGCGTCAAATTCTGATGAATGGTTTGGCTTTCATGATGGTTGTTGAATCCCTTGACCTTATGCGCATAAATAAATTGCAGCTCTTATTATGACTCCTTGTTTTATTTCCGTTTTGCAAATGCCTGCCTTTACAAAATTATCTTGCATGTCTGCTAAGACTCAATATGCACTTATATGCTTAGAAACCGTTATCTACAGAGCTTTAATAGATCTTAACCATTGGTGCTGCTACAAAGCTTGGTTTTCAGGTTCAAGAAATTTGCATGGTGGAGTTCATCCATTGGATTTAGGGTGGAATCCCGGACAATATTGTATGGCCTTCTAAGGAGGTATGTTATTTTGACCTTCATATTTTTTGGCAAGATAACATGATTCCTTGCGGTTGAATCTTACACGTTTTTGTGTATGTGTATTGTTAGTTAAGTTAATCCGGATTGTAGTTCAATTGAACTCGAGTCTGATCATTTTTGAAGCTTGGACTGATTTAGGAGATTAACTTAAGCTGTTTTCTAGATTTAGGGGAAAATGATTTAATATAAGAAATTCATAAATCTTGAAAGTTTGAATTGATTTAGGAGATTGAACAAGGCCTAATCTGAGGAGAAAATGATTTGAAGATTATCTACATTCTAACGTGGCCACGTTACCCAGTGAGTTGGTCAAATGTATCTGTTGATGCTAAACATACTATGTATCTTCAAACACATCTTGTCAGGGACAACAAGCATATGTGGGTTTTGAAATGCAAGAGTGTGTTTGGTCATAATATTACACGGATGTGTTTTGATTAACTTTCCAAATAATGTTGTGTTACTTCTAAACTAGATGATACATCCAACTGGTTGTGTCCATGTATTTTGTGTTAGTTTTTCAACAGTAAAATAAAATATAATTAAAATATTTATAATGAAATCAAAATTTTATGAATTTTTATATCCATTTTTTTTAAAAAAAATATTATCAGAATACTTTCAAAATATATACTTCTTCTATCTGTCATTTGCATCATTTTATTTAATATTTATTATTTGCATCATTCTATTTAACATTTATCATTTGCATCATTGTACTTAATATTAAAAATATTTTTTTTACTGAATGAATGAATGTAGTTTTATTAGTATTATAAGACACTGATAAAAAAATATTTTTGTAATTTATTTTAATTTGTATTGCATTGTGATATAATAATTAATATTCAAAATCATCACGCAAAAAAAAAATGGACCTTAGAGCCGTGAGAAGAAAATATAAAGTTTTCTTGTTAAGATAATCCGATGGCAATGTACCTCACTTAAGAGCAGCAGAGGAAGGGAAACACGGGCAAGTTCCGATAGTAAAAATCACAGTATATTCAAACAACACGGCCGTGTTGTTTTTATTACGCACAAAATGGCGTATGGCCAGGGTTGGAGATGGCCTCATCGTGGCTATCGGCGATGTCAATCTTGTCAACGTCCAGACGGCGGCGGGTATCGTCTTTACTGGTCTCTGCTCAATTAGGCTCGAAATATTTCAACTAAAACTCATCAGAATCAGTCCCCAAAAATGCAGAATAAATTGAAGAAAATCTCTCCGTTCAGACTCTCATCCCTTCTCCGCCTGGAAAAGGACCCAAACAAAGCCCTTCGTCTCTTCCTCACCCCCATTTCTGCAAACCCTAATCCCAAACCCTTCCGCTACTCTTTGCTCTGCTACGACCTAATCATCTCGAAGCTCGGCAAGGCCAGGATGTTCCCGGAGATGGAGAAGATCCTCCACCAGTTGAAAAACGACGCCCGCGTCATCCCGCCGGAGGTGATCCTCTGCAACGTCATCACCTACTACGGCCGCGCACGGTTGCCGGACAAAGCCCTCAAGGTGTTCGACGATATTCCCGCCTTCCGCTGCCAAAAGACGATCAAGTCGGTGAACACGCTGCTGAATGCCCTACTGAATTGCCGCGCATTTGACGAGATGAGGAGGCTTGTGGCGGCGATTGATTCTCACGCGCCGCCGGATGTGTGCACGTATAATATTTTGATAAACGCCTGCTGTATAGGGAATGATTTGTGGCGGGCACGGAAGGTGTTCGACGAAATGCCTGAAAGAGGAGTTCAACCAAATGTGGTGACCTTTGGGACTTTTATCCATGGCCTCTGTGCAAATTCAAATGTGAAGGAAGCTTTGAGGTTGAAGACAAGAATGGCGATCGAATTCGGCATTGCTCCGAATTCGCATATTTACACAGCTCTGGCTAAAGCGCTTTGCAAGGTGGGCGAATTGCACAAGGCGATCGAGTTGAAGGACGAGATGTTGGCGAAGAACGCGGGATCGGATCCCGCAGTCTACTCGACTCTCATTGCAGCATTTTTCAAGGTCGGCCGGAATAGGGAAGCCGGCGAACTGCTCGATGAAATGAAGAGAAACGGGATCAAGCCGGATACAGTAACCTACAACGCAATGATAAATGGATTTTGCAGAGCTAAGGATATCGCCTCAGCTTTTCGGGAATTGATCGAAATGGAGAAGGGAGAGTGCAAACCTGACGTTATTAGTTACAACTTGATCATGTCCGCGCTATGTCGAGAAGGAAAAGCTACCAAAGCCCGCGAGCTATTGAAAGATATGGCGAGAAGGAAGTGCGCCCCGGATATTGTCAGCTACCGGGTGGTTTTTGACGGCCTTTGCGACAAGAAACGGTTTGAGGATGCCGCTAGTCTTTTAGATGAGATGATTTTGCTCGGATACGTTTGTCCTTGTTCTAGCACGGCTAAATTTATCGATAGATTGGTCGGGCCGGGCGAGGATAGGGACGTGTGGGCGTTTTTGGTTCGGTTAGTGAAGAGGAATTCGGTCGACAGGTGTGTATGGAGACTCGTTTCTTCGTTGGCTTGCAATGACGATAAGAATATGGATGCTGGTAAGCTGTTTAATGCTCTTATAAGACATCGGTAGTCGGAGATTTAGAGATTTTGGTTAAAAAGATTGTTGGTTGAATCTTGTTTGTAGATAAATAAATAAATGATTTCTATCGCTTATAGCATTTACATCCTCTAACAGACATGATTCTTTCACTTGGGCTCTTGTGTCGCCGGAATATTCCGGACGGTTGGCCGTAATTTTGAATTATTGATCATATCTATTCGTTTGAGATGTTCTAACATGAGAATTAGACTTTACAAAATATTGTACGGACTCCGTCCAGCCAAGAAGTAAATACAGGGTTTTGCATCATTGTATTTAACATTAAAAATATTATTATATTTGTATAATTTATTCCAAAAATATGATTGTAATTGTATTATAAGAGACTAATAAATGCATTTTTGTCATTTTGTCTCGATTTGATATAATAATTAATATTCAAATATTAACACAAAAAATCACTGTATACTTTGTGGCTGGACGAAGGTAATATTAAATATTACTTTAAGTAAAAAATTTCAAAACTTTCAATCTCAGTAAAACAAGAATTGCACTTTGTTAGATCAACTCTAACCCAAGGTGTTATGAAGTGGAATTTTTATGATATTCTGTGGGTTTTTTTTTTTTCCTTTCTATTTTTGTTATTTTTTGGAGTGAATAATTTTATTTTTTAAAAAAAATTATATATAATTTTACTTTTTTAAAATTAATACTTCCTTCGTCCATCTAAAAAGGTATATATATTTTTATTTTGGGATATCCATCTAAAGTAAATATTTTATTAAATATTTCACTTTTTTTTTACAAATATCATTATTTTACATCACATCGTTACTTTCGAACCAAAAAATAAATGCTAAAATTTCATTACACTACTTATAACTACACATTATAATTAAAATATTATTATTTCTTAAATACCGCGCCAAAAATAAATATTTATTTTCTACGTGGACGGATGGAGTATATAATTTTATTTTAAAAATTGATGTAATATAATTTTATTTTTTGAAAAGTAATATAATTTTATTTTTCTAAAATAATACTATGTATTTTTATTTTTTAAAAGTGATATATAACTTTATTTTTTTGAAAGTATAAGTAATTTTATTTTTTCAAAGTAATGTGTAATTTTAATTTGTAAAAATTTATGTATAAATTTTTATAAATGTTAATTTTCATATATGTAATTTTTAAATAAAATATAAATTATATGTGTATAGATTATGATGTAAAAATAGTTAAAATTGGGGTGTAATTTATAAATATAAAAAGTTATATAAAATAATATAAAAGAAAAATATATAGAAAATATATTTATAAAAATTGAAGTCTATAATTAGAGTAAAATTACTGTAGAATTTGTACTTTAGCCATTGTAAAAATAGAATAGAAGATTAGAGACATCTAATTTATGTTTTGTACGAAAATAAAATTCAAGAGAAGAAGAATGATAAGAAAGAATTGAATAGAAAATAAATTCAATTAAAATAAATATAAAAAAAATCAATTATCATTTATTATATGCATTTATATATAAAAATGACAGATTAATAATTTTAAAATATAACAATTAATAATAATAATAATAAAATTGATTTATTGATATATAAAAACCCTCTAATCACGGCGGTGGTGTGCAGATGGCGACGAAGATAAATTATATAATTTTAAATATAATAAAAAAAAATCATTTTTATAATAAATAAAAATGATTTGTAAAAATTATATATATTTGTTCTCCCAAATTATAATTTTCAATTCACTCTCTTTCTATACATATATGAGAAAGAACTAAAAATAGTAAATTATAAATAAATAAGTAAAATATATTTATTTTAATAAAAATATATAATTTTTATATAAAATATCACATCAAATACTATAATACGAAAAACTCAAATCAAATACTCCCTCCGTCTCATTGAAAAGTTACCATTTTCTATTTTCGTCAGTGCCAAAACAAAGTTATCATTTTCTAATTTAGTAATTGTAGTACATACCTAACATAATAAGTAGTCTTTCAACCACAATATATTACACAAATATTACTTTTATATTACATCGTACTAATAGGAGTATTTTTGTCTTTTTCACTATAATTTAATATAATATTAATATTAAAAAGTTTACGTATAAAAAGCAAATATCACCTTTATTATAGGACATAAGGAATACTAATCTCGAAGAAAAATCAAATATTGTTTAAGAATTTTGAGGTCATTCTATTGACACGCCTCGGCCATTCTAAACCCTTTTTAATTAAATTTTTTTTCTAAATATTACATCCAAATTATTATTCAAATTATAATAATAAAAAATTCAACTAAACACACTTATAAACCTTAGTAAGGATAGTTATACAGGGATATGATTATTTATGAAATAAGACTATTATTTTGAAATGGACAAAAACAGTAAATAAAACTATTGTATTGGAACGGAAGAAGTATATGACTGTATAAAATAATATAATATATAGTAAATATTTTTATAGTAAATAATATAAATATACGTATCATAATATATTATTAATTTCAGTATAATAACAATATTTATAAAGCACAACATAAATCGCTGAGCACATGTTTTGTTGGGATACATATAACTCAAGTCAGCATCCTATCTTCCGAGATATATATATATATCTTTTGCCCAAAATTCAGATTTTTACTATTTGAATTCTGTGTTTTTTGAAAAAAATTATATATATATATATATATTTTTCTCTCGCAAAATATTTTATCATACATTATTATAATATCAAATTCAAATCAAATTTTTTCCAAACTCATCTAAAGAAACATACCTTTAATATAGAATGTGAGGATACCGTGACTAAAAAATATATATTTGATAACTTAAAAAAATTTTGAATCTCTTAAATTAATAATGATTAAAAGAAATAGATTGTGAGGATTTTTTTTTTTTTTTTTCTTTTGGTGAGAACACTTAAAATTTCTTACTTCTAGTTTATTATTTAATTTTATTACTATGTTTCTTTACCTCAAATTTTTCAAATTTTACTATTTGAACTCTGCGTTTTTCGAAAAAAATACATTTTTTCTCTTCTCTTACAAAATATCCCATCAAACATTATTTTAATACCAAACTCAAACCAAAATTTGACCAAACTTATAAAAAAAAACATAAAATATCCAATTAAGTCATTCATTTATATATATATATATATATATATATAGTCATGCATGCACGACCTTCACAAATTAAAAATGATAGAGATCAATTTGGATGTGGAATCCTTCCTTCAGTGCCAAATGTTGATTTGCATTCGACCGAGGAGGTGTGTGTGTCCATTTCAGACCCCTCTAGACAGGTACGGAGGTAGCTTCCAAAGTTAGGGGGCAAAGTTGTCCAGTAAATATTGAATTTTTATGGTTCAATTTTGATTTTAACATATTTCAAGAATCGATCGTTTTTTTTATTATTATTTTAAATAGACGGTTTAAATTTTTTTTAATGAAAATTTTAAAAATTTATAAAAACATGTCGGTCAGGTTGTCTTATATACAATTTCAATCTTATTTTCTTCGATCTCTCGATACTAAAAGATAATGCAAAGAGATACCTGTAATTATATTTAGCATAAAAAATTATATTTTTATAAATAAAATATAATTAAAATTATTATATTAATATAAATTAAATTAAAAAATAATAACAAAATATCTAATAAATTTAAATTTTGAGGGGAGGAATATATTTATACAAATTTTATTTATTTTAAACTAAAAAAAGTTGGGGGGCTGGGGGTCAATTCCCCAAGTCCCCACCTACATCTGTCCATGCCTTTAGGCTATTTTTTAATATATTTGTCTAATTGTATAGCTTAATATGTGCTAATGTGATTTTTTTTAAAAGAAAAAATTATTTTTACGTGTTAAATTATTTACATTTAAATTTTTAATAAAATTCACAATGAAAAAAGAATGAGATAAACTTTATATCATGACGACTTTTCACTCGTTCAAATATTAAGAACCCGTTTACACGGATAATTGACTCTGACTCTGACTCTTTTCGAGAACATACGATGGAATATATTTTTTTTAAAAAATTATTGTCGATGAATAGCATTTAAAATTTTAAAAATATTTATCTATATATATATATATATATAAATGAGATTTAATGACTTCCAAACCTGGATCAAGACAGTCGCCTTTGTTGTCCAAGTGAAGTTAATTAATGATCCTTAATCGGAACTTTCCCACGAGCATTCCCCCGGCTCGGCTGCTTGTGAATTGCATATATATGTTCTTCTATACTACACCTACCCAAACTGATCGATGATCCACACCATCCACGATGCAGACCACTCAAATAATGAACGGTGTAGATCGATCATCAATGGCCTCCCCGGCATTACTATCAACTGTCTCTGTCTTCTTGCTTACCTTTCGACTTTTCGCCCCACGTTTACGTGGATGTTCAATTCTACTTTCATAGCCATCCAACTTGCCCCTCTCTCTCTCTCCCTTTCTATCTCTCTCTAAATATATATATATATATATATGTGCACTATGTTGTTCCAACTTAACCATATCTTTGGAACGAACATCTCCTCCATCTTTGATCGACTATATTTTTTCTTGGCTTCTACTTTTTTTTTAAAAAAAAAAAAAATGGCTCGTGGGATCTTGTTCTTTATTGCCATTGTTCTTTCTTCAATAATTTTGGCTTCATTGTCGGAGAGTAGAATGGTTCCGAGCAAGAAATCCTACCCGCCGCCTCCTCTTGTTGATTCCTGTTTTCTCGATTCGAATTTGGCGCTAACTTCAGTTAATATCGATATTCTTGATAAAAAGAAGATATCCGGTGGTCGGGGATTAGGAGAATCCACTCCAAGTCCCGGAGAAGGACACTAATGGTGTGATCGAATAAACATGATGATGAATTTTCACCTACATTGTATTAATTTATTTATAGTTTAGAAAAATAAGTATAAATTGAAGGGTTGTTATATTTTAGTTCCTATTTATGAAATTATTGGTGCAACAATTTGTATTTCATTAATTGTCCAAAAAATATTGGAATGTTCTTCATTTAATTGGGTAAAATGGGTATATATGATTTGTATTGTAATATACATATATGAATGCCGAACTATGTTAATTTGACTGAATTAGCATGTTGTTTATAAATGTAATTTTTTGGATGATAATAATAATAATAATAATAATAATAATAATATTTATTTATTGTTGATACTCTTTCCGTCCCAACTAATTTGTCCTTTTTAGCTTAGGCATGGAGTTTTAAGTATTGTGTAATTAGTAAGTAATTAAGAAGTATATTTAGTAAAAATAATTATAAATTAAAATGAATAATTATTTGGAACAGACAGAAATAAGAAGAGTAACGATTTTGACTGCTACAATGTCTTGCTTTCACCGAGCGACATTGCCGGCGGATCAAAACTATGCCTTGGGGAAGACGGTCATTGGAGAGTTGTATTTTCGTTTTGATATAATAATTAATATTTGAATATCAATACGTAAAAAGTAAATGAGACCTTCAGAGTCGGACAAAAGTAATATTATTTTATCTCATACAATATTAAGTTAAAATATTTTTCAAGATGAATCACATGCTGAATTAAGGGCCAATCTAATCAAAAAATCATTTATTTTAATTGTAATTTTTAATCTTAAAAATTATTGATAGAAGACCGACGGAAGTGACGGGTTTACGCGAATTTCCACATTATAAAAACTATAAAAAATTATTTATAGAAAATTTAGAGTTATTAAGATTCAAATCAAAACAAATAAACCAAAACTTTCTATTACTATTACTAAATATACATACATATAAATATTAGTACTATTTAGACTTTATGTTTTAATTTTATTTTTTTTTTCACACAAAACATTTTGCCAAATATTATTTGGATATAAAATCTAAATCAAAATTTCTCACATCAAAGAAACAGACCCTAAAATATCGCAGTCGAGAAAAAAAAAATCAAAATCAAAATCAAATACTGAATTTAATACCCGTGGCCACCCTTGTACCAAACTATCAAAACTTAATTCAATTAAAGCATAATATATATAAATTTTAAAAAAATAAATAAAACATCTATTCAAATTCAATCAATTAAAAAACACACGACCAAAATTGAAAACAATATTAATAAAAATATCTCATATAATTCTCAAATTTTGAGATTCACTAAAACCAGTCGAAATAATAATAATAATAATAATAATAATAATCCTCATCATATTCAAAATCGTTCAAATATTTTCCCCCCCTAAAATTCCCCCAATATTCACAGTTTTCAGTCACAAAATCTCCAACCTCACTAAAAAAACATCAACACAAATATACCTGACATTGCACCACCGTCTTGCCGATTCTAAATCCCGGCACGGCGGCGAACGCCACCCGCGGCTCCGCCGTCATCATCACCGCCACCTCGTCGCTGTTCACACTCTCCATGTACACCTCCGAAAAATGGCTTCCCTTCCCCGCAACAAAGATCGTCACCGTCGGATCAAACGCCCGACCCAAGCAATGCAGAAGCCAAACTCGCTTCGCCATGTCCACGAACGCCGCAAAAAACGGCGAATCCGGAATACCGTCTCCAGACTCAACAAGCCTCCGCAGGCTCGTGTCCCCGAAAAACGACGCTTCCATTTTCGGGTGCACCAGCCTCAAATACTTTGCGCGACAAAACGCCGCGAATTCGGAGCCGGGCCCCCGAACAAGATAATCCACGGCCCGCATAGACTTGAGCTCGACGAACTCTTTGAGAAACTGGGCATGATCGGAATGGCTTTCCGGGTCGGGCGCCCTCCCAATTTCAAAACCTGGGTGGTTGAACCCGTCGAACATTTGTTTGCAGACAAACGACTCGAACGCGTAGAATCGATGCTCGGGCGCCCCGAAAAAGGCACCGGGTTCGACTACAGATGCGGCTTTGTCCAAGTTCCAACCCGCGGATTCCATTTCAGTTACCAGAAGTCGGACGAAGCTTCGGATGGATTTCACCGTATGACGGATATATGAGATGATATAATTCTGGTTCAGATCTTGCAGCTGAAATTTGTCAGGAACGGCGAGCTGCCCGCTCGAATAAATCTTCTTTTCGATCAGTTTGTTCTCCCCGTTCGCCTCAGCTAATTTTTCTTTCAGAAAGGTGATTTCGGAGTCCTTGAGTTTGTGATCCGAATCCAATTTCTTTATAGTGATCTCGAAGATTTGCTGAATACTCTTCGCCTCGCGGAGTTCAGACAAGAGTAGAGTTGTCTCGATGTCCGGGTCGTTGAATTGCTTCTTCAAGTAACTTTGCTTTAGCTCCGACAAATTCTTGAGCTCGGCAACGATCTTCCGATCTGCGGATTGAATCCCGTCCGGGTCGTACGGAGATTGGGCGAATTGAAGTTGCGCGTACGCAGCTTTAACGGCGGCTATGCTCGCAAATATCTGTGAAAAAAATGCTTCCTTGGTCACGGCATCTTGGAATTCGTCTTGAGTATTCTCGGATGGATCTTTCGATTTCTTTTCCTCGGGTTTCACGTTCGCGATTCCATCATTGGTGATCCCGGCGCCTCCGTGAAATAAAACCTTCGAAAACATGTGCGCCAATTTATTCTTTTTCGATGCAATCGGAGAGCACTTGGCAACATCATCATTTCCCATCTGCATCAAAAATAACCAAAGAACAATATCACCAAAAACGATCGTATGGATCAACAACTTAAAAGACTTACAGATATGGGCATGAATAATAGTAGCAAATTCACAAAATAAGACACGAAAAGGTTGTTCGAGTAGGCACATCACTGAAAAGGATTCATTCATAAACAACGGGATCTATTCTCATATGCATTAAAAAATAAAGGAATGTAAACGAGCCACGCGGCAAAATTAGTTGAAATTAAGGACTAGATGACAAAATGGAAAAATCAATGCACAACGTATCCTCCAAGATCAATGGGCGCGGACCGCATGCCCAAAATCTAAAAAATCGTAATCTCCCCAACAAAAAAAAAAAAAGGTGCAATTAATACTACTTCGAAGATCAACCATCGATCGAAGCCCAGTTGTCAATCAATCGAAAAAGCGAATGATCAATAAGGGAAAGAACAGCGAATATAAACCCGGAAAGACCGGGACAAAGAATCCATCATTGGGACAGCATAGATACCACACTCAAACATAATTCACTACTTTCTTGGAGAACATCATAGAACAACAACATATATATATTAAGAATTAAGACAGGAAATCCCAAAGAATCTCTCACGAAAAGCTTGGCCATCATCATCATCATCATCATCCATTATCAGATCAGCTAAGAAGGAAGAACCCTGGCTGATTCTTCGAAACTCCCAGGACTCCCAACTCCAGACGCAGAGAAGAAGCCTCTGGAGCTGGGAGTCCCTGGAGCTTCCCAGAAGGAGCAGCAATGAATGCATAGCATATACCATTTTCCAATATCAAATTAAAAGCGGAAAGAAACACACACACACAGAGAACGATGATTCAAAGCTCTGCTGTTTCGAATCATGTTTTAATGAAAATCCACCCGCTGCACAAATCCGAGCCACACATTCTCGGATCACGCGGCACTCACGTGACTGACTACCAAACGCAGAGGGGCAAAAATTAACCATCTTTGACCATCGATGCAGACAGACAGACCGACATACAGACATACAACGTTGCTTCGACCTTCCGATGATTAATTTTACTACCGCAAGAGAAAAACAAGGAATTGATTTTACCTTCCCAGAAACCTTAATCCGGATAATCTGTGGATTTCTTTCACTCTACTGCTGCGACAATTCCAAGAACCTAAAAAACAATCACCCCAGGGAAACTGTAAATTAGCGTAAGATTAATCTGAGAAACACGCACACGTGTTTGTTTGCGAAAGGAAGAATCTTCTCAACAAAGAAGATTTGACAAAAAAGAGAGAGGAAAGAACAGCAGCTTAATACAAGGCAGAGATTCTGCATAAAAAGAAAAGAAACACAATCGAAGCTTTCTATTTTTCCGATTTTATAAAAACAACAATCCTGTCCAGGATTAAAAGTAAAAATTCGATATAAAAACTGTGGAGAATCGTTTCCCCCCAAATGTAAACCCTAATTATTAGAACATTCACCTCATCAATAAGCTTCCTCGAGTCGTTGGGATGAGGACAAAAGGAGGACTATAACTGCAACTTAAGAGACTCCTTTGCCGGCGATTGTGAGGGGATGAGTGTGGACTGTAATGAGATGATTCTCGAGGTCAGGGATTGTGGACTTGAGAGCGAAAATGGCGTGCGGAGGTGCAGAAGGCGGAAATGGTTTTTGGGGGAGATGAGACAGAGAAACTGAGAAAGAGAGAGGGGAAAAAGACGAAAATAGACAGAAGAGACGTTGAGGAAATTAAAAGCACTCCGGGGGACAAAATCCCCATTTTGCACATCTTTTGTTCGGACGGTTTCACCCTTGGCTTTTGTGAAGGACATTGAGGGTATCTTAGTCAATTTGAGTTATCTATTTTAGATAAAATTTATTAAATCAAAACATATTTAATAAATATAAATTAATTTAATTAGCTGCATAACATATAATATCATAAATTATATACATTTTCTCAAAATCTCTTTATTTATATTTCTTTAAAAAAATAAATATTTTTATCTACATTTAAAATTTTACTTATTTTGTAAAATTAGTTTATATTAATTATAAATAAATGAAGTATTTATTTACTTAGTATTATAAAAAAAAAAATTATTTTTTACAAAATATGTATAATGCATATATTTTTAATTGCAATATAAATTTTAAAATATTTAAATATATTTTTTAATTTTTAAATTATATATATTAAATTTATTTTAAATTATTAATATTATTAATTATATAAAATAATAAAATAATATTATAATTTATTATTATTAATTCATTAAATATTATTTTTTTAGATATTATATATTGATAAAGAGGTTTCAATTATATTAGAACGGGTGAAGTATATTTAATATTAATATTATAAAAATATATGCATATATTTGCATAATATATCAAATATATATTAATAAAATAAATTAATAATTTAATATAAAATATAATTTTTAAAGTACTAATATATTTTTTTATACTTGAAATAAAAAAAAAATATTTCAAATTAGAAATATAAATTAAATACACTATATTTAAAATATACACGAAGTTTGTTTGATTGTAAATTGAAATTAATTTAAATTGTAGCATTGATTAAAATTTTATTTTAAATAATATTTTAATATTTCAATTTATTAGATTTTTATTGGTAATCTTGTGTGTTAAATAATAATTAAATTTGGTAGTAGACTATAAAATTATAGTATTTTATTGATTATGATAATAGCGTAAGAGATTTTGATTTTTTTTTTTAACTTTATTTATTAATTAATTGAATTTGTAATACTTCATCCGTCTCATAACTATAGTCTAGGTTGAGTTTGGCACGGAATTTAAAGAATATTGATATTATATTGGTAGTGGGTAAAAAGTACAGATAAAATATTTTTTTGCCCTTGTGAGTGTATTAGTGTAAAAAGTAGTAACAATTGTAATAATAATGAAAAAGTAAAGGTAGTTTTATAGTGATATGGTTATTTATGAAAATGAGACTATTGTTTTAGAACGGATAAAAAATGGTAAACAAGACTATTGTATTGAGACAGAAGGAATGGTATATTTATATAAGTAAAACTTAAAGTTATTTTGATATTAGTATTAGTGTATAATTATTTTGATTAAAATAAAAATTATATTTTTTAGTGTACTAAAAATAGTAAAAATGATAAAAAAATATATATATTATATAAAAATAAAAAATATTATAGTTTTTATTCAAAATAAAAAAATATACGCACCCATAATTTCTTATAATAAAAATATTTTTATATTTATAAAATATTAAGTTGAAATTATCATTAAATTAAAATCTATAACTAATGTTCCATATTTTTCATTCCACGAAGAGAAGATGGATTTGTTATTTTAATGTTTTAGGTTCGCAGGATTCTGGATATTAATTATTGATAATTGAAAAAGTGTTACTCCCTCCGTCTAAGATATCATGTCCATGTTGCCGTTTATGTCCGTCTCACATACCATGTCACTTTATTTTTTAGAAAATGATTACACATTTTAATCTCATTTTAAATTTTTAAATTTTATTTTTTTATTTTAATTAAACTAATTAATTATCTTAATCTTAATTTATAATTATTTATATTATAGAATAATTATTTTCACTAATACATTCTTAATTATCTACTAATTACACTCCTCCTAGAATACTGTGTCTACAGTGTAGCAGACACGGTATCTGGGACGGAGGGAGTATTAAAATTATAATATTAGCGGGATGAAGTAGTTTTATTATTTTTGAAATATTTTATAAAGAATAATCTATTAATATATTTTATAAGAAATATAAATAAATAAAAATTACTGTAAAAAGTATAAATATTAAAAGAACAATTCATATGGATTTGTGTCCATAAATTTTACAACCTTTTTGGATTTTAATAATTTATAACTTTTTGTAATAAAATGAATGAGATAATATTTAGGATATCATGTAAAAGTATAAAGTTAAAATATTTGTTGAAGTGCTTTAAAATATAATTTTATATACTATAGATAAATAAAAATATAAGCTAATAATATTATGTAAATTACAATTTTTGAATATATGTTTATTTAGGAATAAAATATAATATTATGAATATATTTTATCTGTAAATATTTTTAAATGATATTACTTTTTTTGTTTTTTATTTTAAAAATAAAATTTACCATTGTTTAGCTAACACGTTTTTTAATAAAAAAAATATATATATTATTTTATCTTATAAAATATTATACTAAAATATTATTTAATTTAAATTTTAAATTCAGACTCAATATGTTATATACAATATAATATATTTATAACATAACATATAATTTTTTATAATTTATATTTTTTTCGTCTCAATTTAAAGTAATATTTTTACTATTTTTGTCTATTTCACTCAAAAGTGTTATTTTTCTATTTTAGTAAAAGTAATCGTATACTAATATCAAAATACATTTAATTTTTATTTAAATGATAAATATATCATTACATATACAATTACTTTATACAAAAATTCAAATGACAAAATTGTCGGAATCTATTATACACTTCCACTAATAATAAAATACTATTATTTTTTAATTTATTACAAAACTCCAAATGGATACATTCATCCGGAACAAGTGGAGTATTATATAAAAATATATGAATCCGGATTAATGGAAGTGTGTAAAAGATTTTGACATTTTCGCCATTTAACTTTTTGTATAAAGTAATTATATATGTAACAGTATGTTTGTGGTATTTTGATATTAGTATATGATTATTTCTTCTAAAATAGAAAATAGATACTTTGAAATAGAACAAACAAAAATTGTAAAAATAGTACTTTGAATTGAAACGTAGGGAATACAATCTAACCCCCTAGTATTATTTAATCAGACATACTAAATTATCTAAATTACTCTTATCTTTAAACACTTATAAACATTTTATATAAATATAATAACAATCTTTTTTATTTAATATGCTACATCCGTCTCATAAAACCGGTAACATTTGTTTTTTGCACGTATATTAGTTTTTTAGTGAAAATGACAAACATACTCTTATTAGATTGTGTGATATAAAAATAATAGCACTTGTGTAATATATTTAAAATTGTAATGATATTAATTATATTAGATAAGTAGTACAGTTACTGAATTAGGAAATAATACCTTGTTTTGGGATGAATAAAAATAAAAAATGGTATCCTTCTTATGGGACGGATGAAGTATTTTAATTTCATTTGAAATCTAAGTTATATATATTTTTTATTTTAATTTTAAATTTTAATCAATAATTTAAGACGATAAACATATAATAAAATATGTTATTAAAACTAAATTTATACTTTTGAAGACAAAATTAAATATATTTAATAAATAATAAAAATATATCAAATTATACATATATATATATACATATTATGTAATGATATGAAATCAATTAAATTTTAATATTGTTATATATTACTTCATTTATTCCTTAACAATTTATTTATTCTTCTATTTCGGTCTGTCCATAATAAAATATCTATTTTCTTTTTAGTAATTATACTTTCTACTAACATTAAAAATATCATTACAACTTACAATATATTACACAAATATCATTACCTTTATATCACATAATACTGATAAGGTTATTTTAATCTTCTTAAAACTCCGTGCAAAAAGCAATCGTATAGATAAATAAGGGAATGAGGGAGTATATTGCTATAATTAAAAGAAAAAAAACTATATAAAATAAATTATATTACAATAATTTATTATAACATTATTAAGGATATTTGGGGTAAAAAAAAACTATATATATAAATAATCAAATAAAGTAAAGTAATATAATTTTATTTAACGTTTAATCACACAAAGTAAATATTATATTAATTAATCAATTAAAATAATTTAAGTATTATAATACAATTTTCCAAAGTAAATACAAACCATGTCTACTTTTATTCCAATCAGCACCATAGATAAATATGGTTGTTAAAATATATATATATATATATATATATATTATTGTGTATTATATTTATAATACTCCGTATCATGTAAATTGTCCTTGTTACCGTAGATACGAAAATTTAGGTAAAATATAATTAGTAAATAATTAAGAATTGTATTAATAAAAATAATTATTGTAATAATAAAAATAATTATTAATTAAGATTAAAATAACTAAATAGTTTAATTAAGATTAAGAAAATTATAAATTATAAATTTTAAAATGTGATTAAAGTGTATAATTGTATTTTCATGAAAAGGAAATGACATTATGCGAGACGGATCGAAATAGAAAATGTAAAAATTTTATGTGAAACGGATTGAGTAGATAAAATGTGGGAAACGATGAATTTTGGGGGTGTGTTCTTCGACAATTCTTAAAAAAAATATTCCCCCTTCTCGAAATTAATATATTATACATATTTCACTAAACGAAATATCGTGGGGTCTCTTCTTTGTATTTAATGGTTTTTATATTAATACTCCAATAAATTAGTTACTCTATTATTTTAAAAACAATTGTTAAAAATAATAAATTAGTAATAAGACTGTTCATTCAATTTTTTTAGATTATTTAATTTTTTTTATACAGTATGAGAATTGTATTGGTAATATAAAAAATAATATTTTGTATTAAATGATTGATAAATGGATAATTAATATATTACGTTAATGCGTGTGTATATTTGTATTTTTCTAGTACTCTAAGTGTCAACAGTTACATTTTGCGTCATTGTAGTTAACATTAAAAATATCTT